CTATCTATCTATCTATCTATCTATCTATCTATCTATCTATCTATCTATCTATCTATCTATCTATCTATCTATCTATCTATCTATCTATCTAAGCTTTAGTCCATTGTTTATGGTGTAAGAAATTAAAAACCCCATCAAAATGTTGACTGTATTCTACCTCATTGATGAGAGCTTAAAGATCCCCTAAATGCCAAAGGAGATACAAGAATCATCACAAAAGCTGTGTTCATAATTCCAATAACAAAATAACAGGACTGTTCTGCAAACAGTCTCTGATATTGAAACAGGTGAGCCATCTGTGGATCAAGAGCACTATGTAAGTATTGCACATTCTGTAAATCAACAATTCCTAATAAGGGTGACCTCCTTTTTCACTGTAACTTTATTGCACAATGCAGAAAAACCAATAAACTAAATCAAAATCCTAGGACAGTAGCATTTAAAATGCTTGTTTACCAGATTATTTTAAGTAATAAAACTGAGAAGCTGCAATATTATACATTAAATAAATTAACCAGACTAATTTAGATGTTAAGGTTAAGGACTTACCATGACAAATTGTCTGTCTGATTTAAAAAGCAAGGATATTACCCCCAAAATTACACATCCAAATCCAAAGATTCCTTATTAGTGGACAAGAATGACTCCCAATCAATATGGAAGAGACCTTCAGCAGGACCAGACTCAGAGAGGGTGGCCATCTGCCTCAGCTGGTTAGGGTCAGGTGAAAGGTGAGAGAAGAAGAACAGAAACAGAAACACTGCATAAGTTGGTGGGAGTAGCTGCAGATCAAACCCACACAGCTCCAAAGTCAGAAATACCTGTAGAGAGGTACAGGAAGACAGAGGACTGAGCACCACATATGTGAGAGATTAAATAAAAAGTGAATAACATGCAATAGTGCATATTAATACATGGAGAAAGTGGCCAGAGAGATGCAGAGGATGTGCAAAAATCACCAAAATGCAGTAAAATGTAGTGTTTGGTGTTCAGCATTTTCCTGGAAGAGGACCTTTAAACCCCTCACCACCTGATGTGAATGCAGATGTGCACTCAGCGGTGCCAGAGAAAGGCCTCCATGTGTTACGCTGCTTTGGACTCTTGCATGCATGTGGCTGCATAAACAGAGGAGGTAGTAAATGCACGGTATCCAGCAGTGACCCCAATCTATGCAGTTTAACAGTTTTGCCATCTGTCAGTGCAGGCACAAGCTTTTTGCAGATAATCCTCCATTTCCGTGATGTAAATAAATGAGTCTCGTGAGAAACTTGGCTGGTGTAAGGTTTAAAAATTCCACCTTTATTTACATCAACATTGGCCGTGCAGTAAATTTTAGCTACTTGAAAATAATTACAGTTAGATTTTTTTTCTCCCCCCTGGTGTGCAAATACACTAAATCATGGCACTCATGAGCGTGTTGTGACAGTTAATCTGGTCATGCAGTAAAAGGCTCTTAGTGGATCAAAGAGGTCCACTTTAACACAGTGTGTAGCTCAGACAAACAATAAGAGGCAGCTTCTTTCTCCCAAAATTCAGACCATGATATTTTTTCCCAAGTTGTAATCAATAGGCTATAATTGCACAATTTATTTAAATTGAATTATCAAATGAAATCAAGCTGATTTATTTTGCTTTAAAGCAACCTGAGTAGACGGATGTATTGTAGATGTGATAAGAAAGGCAACAACAAAAGCATATGCAAAAAGCAAGACAGGAAACAGGTTAAAACTTGCAAAAATCATTAAATTAAAAAAAAAAAACACACACACGAAAAAACCAAACGAGGATCAATTGCTGTAATAAATTAAATATAAAACAAAAAAGACCACTAAGAACGCGTGCGAAAAGACAAGAGGGGGCTAAAAGGGGCATTCAAATATTAAAATATAGAGTAGAAAAAGTGAAGACATGGAACAATATCTCGAGTTTTGTGGAGAAAACTTCACACACATGAAGCAACCCTGAATGTCTCCATTGAACCTTCCTATAGTAATGCTTACTTCATGTTACCTCGGAATTTTCTAAGCTAGGCATCGGAGAACAAAAATAACAGCCATCATTTTTGTCTCCATTGAATTTATTTATTTCTTAAAAGATATAAAATCTAAGTTAATTTAAATAAAATAATATTAGCAGCACACATTCTGTGCCTTAAACGTATTAGTGTGGTAATGGTAACACAATTAACCTCTCGATGGGCTATTTTCCGCTGAACTTGAAAGCATCATAAGCTCCTCCTGCTCCGGTAGTCCGAGCGGGAAGTTCAGATGTTCGTTTTTCGACATAAATATCATGTAAATACAGCAAATATTCTGCTGCTATTTCGATACAAACGTCACTTTACAGGAATTTTAACTGGTGAACTGGTGAGTTTGTGTTTACATAGTTTGGGCTGACTTTAAGTGGCATTTAAAACGGGCTAATGTAACATTAGCTCGCTAAATGAAGCCAATTTAAAAGGCTGATAGCAAACGTTGATGTTAGCTTCTCTAACGAAGAACGTCCAGGTTCATTTTAGCTAGCTTGTTAGCTTGTATTTGGTTTAGTGTGTTTGAGAAGAAGACATGGGAAGTTTTATTTTCAAAGCTACATTCGGTGTTTTCGTGTGTGTTTACCTCAGTGACTACAGGACGTGTGTGCAGTCATGTCCGGGGAGGAGGAGAGGAGCAGCTCTGCGTCCAGGAGCTTCGGACAGGTGATGACTTGTTGGGAGCCTGAACACTGGGAGCTCAGCACACAAGTCTTTAGGTTTTTGATTCATTCTCAAGTTATTTCAGAATGAAAGGAATATGCAATCTGAGCCACTGTGCTTTAGGGAAAGTCAGGTCATCCCACTTTGTTTCTACATTTAACCAGTTGTGCACATTAACATCTGTCTCACTGCTTTAGTGTTATTTATATGATTTGCAGAGTTATAAGTGTGCCATGTGACAAAGAATAAAAAAAAAGACCTTTTAGTTACCAGCTGAAATAAAATCAATTATTATACACATTTTTCAACAACAGCCATTGAGCCAAAGTGCTCAAGTTTAGCTGAATAAACTTCCCAACAAGTGAGAACATGAAGGTTAAGAGTAGTATTTATCATGTGAGTTTACCCGAGTGGTTTAAATACTCCAAGTAAAACCCTACTAAATTATATAAAATACAAATTTATCTGAATAAATTAAATATTGAAGTTAAGATATTAATAAGATATTAAGGTTAAGACAATGTCATATACACTACTAGTCAAAAGCTTTAAAACACCCCAGTTGTTCCATTTTTTATTGAAATCAAGCAGTTTAAATCCAATGAATAGCTTGAAATGATACAAAGATACGTGGCCAGAGGTTTAGAAAATAAGGTAAGGTTACCCAAAACTGAAAAGTAATGTATATTTCAGAATTATGCAGGTTAACAACTTAAAGCTGCTCTGCAGCAATGGAGGTTGATCAGGCCTTGAAAGTTGTTGCTACCAATTCCTACAAATGTTCCTGATTACTTACAAGCCCCTCCGTCTGCATAAAAGTCGTGCTGGAACACACTGAGGTACCAAACCCTCATGAGCATTGTTTGAACAGTATTGTACTGCAGAAAGAAGTGTGTTGCTATAAAAATGGGCGAGGAAAAGACAGTTAACAATGGAAGAGAGACAGACCATTACAACACTTAAGAATGTAGGTCTTTAGTCCTGAGAAATTGCAAAGACAGTCGAGGTGTCGGTGAGTACAGTTTGATTCACCATCAAAAGCCGCTCCGAAACTGGGGGAGACATGACAGGAAGAGGTTTGGCAGACCCAAAGCCACAACAGACTCAGAAGACAAGTTTCTCAGAGTCAGCAGCTTGAGTGATAGGTGGCTAACAGGACAACACGTTCACAGCTTAACAATGGTGGTCGTAACCAAGTGTCAGTTTCAACTATGAATAGAAGACTTCGAGCTGCAGGTTGAGTTGCAGCGAGAAAGCCATTGCTGAGACGTTAGAATAATACACCATCGAGTAGGCGCAAGGATGGTTTGTCAGTGTGACATCAACTGTCAAGCGTGGGGGAGGAAGTGTGGTGGTCTGGGGCTGTTTCGCTGGATTCAGGGTTACAGAGTGAGAGCCACCCTGAACCAAAATGGCTACCGCAGCATTCTGCAGCGCTGTGCAGTATCCTCTGGTGTGCGCCTAGTTGGTCAGGGGATCATCCTGCAGCAAGATAATGTCCCAAAACTTGAGTCCAAGCTGTGCCAGAACTGCCTTAAACGGTAAGCTTGAAAACATGGAGCAGCCAGCACAGTCTCCAGACTTAAACCCCATCGAGGTGATCTGGGATGAACTGGGCAGAAGAGTGAAAGCAAAGCAATCTACAAGTGCCACACATTTATGGGAACATCTGTCAGTTCTTTTTAACATGAATCAATCAAATAATCAGATATAACACATGGCATCTCTACAACAGAAAGAAAGTCAGAACAGAACCAAGTGCACACTATATCTGGGATGATAGTGGGCAGATGGATGGTGGGGTCAAACACCAGAAACCACAAGTCTATAAGGAGTCACACATCTGCAACGCATAGAGATTTTGTGTGAAATGTTGTCCCACTCTTCCTGAAGGGATTGCAAAAGTTAGCTGACATTTAGAGAGAAAGCATCTCATTGTTGGACACGTGCATCCGAAGCATCACGCGGCAGATTGTCTCTCGTACCGTACTGTCAGAAATGATTTCTGAGATGACAAATGGTGGAGATGTGAGACAGAACCTGAAAGACAGTGTTTCCTGCCAGAAGTGTCAGAGCTGGCAACCCTGACTGGACGAGTTAAGTAGCTAAAGAGCATTATTCACCGACCTGAGCGTGTACATAAGGCGGTGGCAGTGTCACGTCCTGACTCATCTCCTGCTACAGCAACAGGAGACAGCTGTTCCTCCACCGTGGTATTTACAAAAAGAAAACATCCTAAGTTTTGTGAAAAAAAAAAGAAAAGAAAAGAAAAGAAATGGATCCTGGGCTATTCATATTCAAGGCTGTAACCTCAGACTCCCGGGGCTTCCAAAGCTACTGTTCTTTAAGTTTCATTGAAAACTCTCTCAATCACATGTGTAATTAAGTAATTATGAAGGTAAAACACAGCTGTTTTGGTTTCACCGCCAGTCCTACAACTGTTAAAATTCTGTTTTCTTATTCATAGAGAAGGTTAATGTATGTTGGAATATAATAGAATAGAATTATTTTTACTGATCCTCCATTGGTGGAAATTTGCATGCCACAGCAGCATCCAAAAATATAGAAAAGAAAGTACGGTGGTTAGCACCGTTGCCTCGCAGCAAGAAGGTCACCGGTTCCTGTCCCGGTGGGGGCACCGGGATCTTTCTGTGTGGAGTTTGCATGTTCTCCCTGTGCAGCGTGGGTTCTCTCCAGGTTCTCCAGCTTCCTCACACACAGTCTAAAACATGTTGAGGTTAATTGGTGATTCTAAATTGTCCGTAGGTGTGAATGTGAGTGTGCTTGGTTGTCTGTCTCTAAGTGTAGCCCTGTGATAGACTGGTGACCTGTCCAGGGTGTCTCCTGCCTTCACCCTGAGTCAGCTGGGATAGACTCCAGCCCCCCTAGTGAGGATTAAGCGGAGTATAGATAATGGATGGAACTACAAGGAGATAACAATAATTAAGTAACAAAATAAGTATGTTATTCTTGATGTTCTTCTAATAATTTGCAGATTAACACACAAGTTTGTCTGCAGGACATAGAGAGAGCTGCAAAGAACTGCTAACCTGTCCAGGATGTTTTTCCATTTGCATCTCAAACATCTTGTGAAAGCAGGAGGCAGTGCAGCAGGATGGAGTGGGACTGTGACTGATGATTATTTTTATTTGTTGACAATTATTTTCTCCATTAATTTATTAGTTGTTTGGTAAATAAAACCTCAACAAATGGTGAAAATGCCCATGAGTGTTTTCCAAAGACATCTTCAAATATCCTGTTTTGTTCACAACACAAAATATTCAGTTGACTGTCACAGAGGAGTGAAGAAACCAGGAAAATAATCATTTAAAGAGGCTGGAATCAGAGAGTTTTGAGCTTTTTCCCCTAAAAAAAAAAATTTTTTTAAAAATTCTTAAACCAATTCATCGACTTGTCAGAGTAACTGGGGATTAATTAAACAGTTGACAACTACTAGATTAACCGTTGCAGCTCTCGGTGGGGGTAACTCAAATTAATTTGTAACAGCTCAGATTGTGACAAAGAATAAACAGAATTATGAAGAAAATCATATGCAAGTTATATTTTAAATAGTCATAGTATTTTCCTTTCTTATGTGCGTTTCTTTTTGTGGTCTAACTGTTGCCCGACTGTGCTGACAGTGCACCTACACAGCTGAGGAGTACCAGGCCGTGCACAACGCTCTGCGACAGAAGCTGGGACCAGAGTACATCAGTACCAGAGTGGCTGGTGGAGGACAAAGGGCAAGTCTTTGTTTTTCTCTCTCATATTTCTCTCCAGCTGTGCCGAGAATTTAAAGCCCCCCTCCGTCACTCTGAAATGTGTTTGAGCTTCACTGTACAGAATGAAAACACATCTGAGTGTCTTTATTATTTTTATGTAATTATCCTCATGCATATTTATGATTGTAATCCACAGCGATAACAACTTTACTGCATGATCAGAAATTGGCCTTTATTTTGCTAATGTCTAAATCAAGAGTTGCACAGGATGTAAGTCTGTCTGTCTGATCTCAACAGGTGTGTTATATTGAAGGGCATCGTGTCATCAGTCTAGCCAATGAGATGTTTGGATACAACGGCTGGTCTCATTCTATTTCCCAGCAGAACGTTGGTATGACGTATTTCAACTCTTCTTGGTTTTGACGTCATGCAATCACACTAACAAGTTCTGTGCTTTTGTTTTCAGACTTTGTCGACCTCATAAATGGGAGGTTTTACGTCGGAGTCAGCGCGTTTGTCAAAGTGCAGCTGAAGGTTGGACGGACAGACATCTTTGTTTTTATTTTCCTGACAGCCGTATGAATTTGTGTAACAAGTGCTTCTCCTCCAGGACGGTGCGTTTCACGAGGACGTCGGCTACGGAGTCAGCGAAGGACTGAAGTCTAAAGCTCTGTCGCTGGAAAAGGCGAGGAAGGAGGCTGTAACCGATGGCATGAAGAGAGCGCTGAAGTACTGGAGTTTACTTATTAACTCTGATTAGATTGATGATGTTTTAATAAGTAAAAATGTATTCTGTAATTCTTTTTTCTTTTCAGATGTTTTGGTAATGCTCTGGGAAACTGCATCCTGAACAAAGAATACCTCCTCGCCATTAACAAAATCCCCAAACAGGTCAGAAACAACCCAAAGTATAAGATTATGTCATTTATTTTGAACCTTTTTGATCTGATAATTGTTGGGAAGCTGAATCTTGTCACGTTTCTTCTACACAAAGCCTCCTCCTGCTCTGGACCCGGCCCAAACTAAGCGCTCTGATGGCGAACCATCAGTGGAGAAGGCCCGGTTCTCTAGTCTGGTCCGGGACGACAATCTTGCATCTGCTGCAGGTCCTGCAAGGATACCGCTGGAGCCCCGGGTCATCAACCAGAACCATTCAGAGGTTCATACTCCTGATGCCGCTGGTCCGTCCCTCCACAGGAAGAGTGAAAACGGCAGCTCCAGGTGTGGTTTCAGTGTGTGAAGCTTCCTCGTCTCTTTTGAAAGTGTTTATCATCTCCAGTCACATTTCCGTCTTCCCTCTTCAAAGGTCCGCTGTGGACTCGATGGATGCTTTTGGGTCTGAAGCGCACACGGACCCCAAACAGCTGAGAAAATTGCGGCAACAGCAGCTTCAGCAGAAGTTCAGGAGAGAGATGGAGGCCAAGAAGCTGCAACAGAAACAGGATGAGACGAAATCCGAGGAGGCAGAGGTTCCTATTGGACGAGGATCCAGCGGAGGTAAAATACATCAGAGTGGTTTCTTAGTTTAAAGCAGCTGCCTCATATCACTGTGCTGTCTTCAGGTTTACTTTACTAAAGAGTAAAAACTCTCCTGTTGGTGTTTTTTAACCAATAATTATCTCCTTCACACCTCAGCAACATCATCACATCGTGAGGTTTCTGCTTTGATGGAAAAGAGAGCCATCAATATAATCCCACAAAAATAATGAAATGTCCAAATCACTTGTAACTGTTTCATTTAGTTACAGCTGACAAATGTCAAATTTGACATGAAGGGCCAAAATATTAAAATGATTTCCTTAAAATAAGTGTAAAAAAAAAAAAAAAAGAGTTCATGTCTTGTGATCTGATTTGACCTCCAGGCTGGTAGTTTGAGACAACTGGTTTGAAGTGTGTTTTTATTCTTAGTTTTTAATGGTGAACTTAAGTTTTTCTCTGGTGTTTCCGTTTCTCAGGGTCCTCCGGCGAAGGTGGTGCAGTGTTCAGCGACGGCAACGCGGCTGAAGACAGGAAGCTCAGCAGCAGAGATGTGTGTTTGACAGGTGCTATAAACAACCACATTCACACATACACAGACTTTGACTGTGGCTTAGATCTAACTCGTAGTCAGACTTTAGATAGATTAAAAATGTTTCTGTTGCACAAAGCTATTTATCCCTTGACTGTCTTAAACTGGAGTAATTTAGACTTTTTCAAACCAGAATCCATGGTTGTCCAAACAACTGCATTAAAGCTCCCTTCACAGTTTTATATTAACAGGATATTTTAGTGGGAAAGTTTGATCTTTAGCAAACCATAATTGTCTTTCCCTTTAATCAGCAGGTGTCACTGAGTGTTGTCATGGAATAAAGTCTTAGTTAGCCTGGGAGTCTGGTGGCTAACTCAGGCTTAAAATAAGCAAGGGCCCTTTTTGTGAAACTCACATTACTCTAGTATAAAAGCTCATTTTACACCCATCTAACGCTGCCCCCCTTTTCTGTCTTTGTCTCCCCGTGCAGATGATCCTGAACTCTGGGATTTCACTCTAGATTCGATCGAGGAGCTGGACGTCCCCGCGGGCGGCCCTCCACCCAGAGCCTTCAGGCCCAGCACACCCGGGAGTCACAAGATGCAGACGCGCAGCAAGACTCCTCAGAGACCCCCGAGCAGACCTTCAGAGGCCCCGTCGTACAGCAGAGGACACGACCAGGCTCAGCACAGATCCCAGCACCACAACCAGTATCAGCAGAGACCAGGTGAGCTGTCACTGTCACTCAGTGAGTGAAGTTAAGGTGGATTTCTGTGGGCTTAACTTTGTTTTTGCTTCTCCAACCTGCAGGTGAAGCCTCCAGTCCGTACAGACAAGGACAGTACATGAAGAAACGCAGACTGGACACTTAAGACGCTGTTCAATCAGCTCTGTCTAGAATCCAGCCGAATGATTTTTATTTATTTTAGTCTGTACATTTAAATTCATATTACATTGACTTGCTGCTATGTATAATATTTGGAGGGATGTCGATAAATGTCTTCTGGTTTTGTGAAAGTAAAAACAAAACCAAAGAAGTGAGCGAGCTACAGTTACGTAGTGAATCAAAGAAAACTAGTCTTCATATTGAGGTTTTCAGTTTGTTTGAATAAAATTCTATCAGAAAACATTGTTATTGTTCAATAAATAAATCCAAATAATGCAGTACACCTGGTTCAAACTATTGTTTTTTGTTGACAAATACCCCAATGAGCACTTTTAATTGATATTATTTTTATTTGTTTTTACAATTTGTACAATGTGAAAAACATACACAGAAAAAACAGACACTGAATCACAGAAAGTCAGTAAGGAGGGATCGGAAATAAGAGTACAACTGCGTCAGTAGCCTTAAACAGTACTGTGTAGAGAGGTCTGTGATAATTACTGATAATAGCTTAGTAGCACATGGATCGTAAGATTCGTTGTGAACTTGTGCTGTACAGTGGCCAGTTGTGAGATGGATGTCGTTTGTAAGATTAAAACACCAGTGAAGCCGGCATGCAGAACTCATACGCTGATAGTGTGGTACTGAAGTTGTGCCTGTGATATTGATGAATGGCAACTGAACAGATCAACACTTGTCGCAGGAAGGCAAAGAATTAAAAAAAAACAAAAACATAAACAGTCTCTAATATTCCAATATCAAAAACATTGAAGTCGGCAACAACCCTCATCAGCATGCAAATGTTTCCAATACCCCTCAGTCCCTATAAAACTTTAAACATTGCATATTCTGCATTGCAGTAACTTATTTTTTTCTCTAGAGAAGTTAAACTATTCATTCAATCTACGAGCAGGCGAAAGAGTCACGACGACAGCATGGCACTCGTGTGAGGTGGTGAGAGAAGTCGAGTCAGCATGACAGCTTGGAAACCTTTGTACAGCTCACTTGCTGCCTGAACAAGTGCTTCTATGAACTAGTTTAATGATAAATCCACAAAAACAAATGTCAGCCAAATCCATGTTCACATGAGCCAAATATAAACACACAGCTGATTGCACAACCAACGCAAACGTAACTGTAGAGAGAAAACAAACGGTTTTCCGCTTTACTCCGTGTGCTCTTTGTTCTGCGCGTGGCGTCTGTTTTCGGCGTCGCATGCTCTGAACTGGCCGTGTCGGGTGGTGTGTTCTGCGTCGTGTTCGGTTAAATGGTTTTCTGCGGTACGGTTACAGCTACAGGACTAGATGAATCTGGAACTTGTCATTAGTGAGGATGCAAGGCACTAAAGTGTTCCTCATGTTTACAGGTTAGAGTGCATGTGCATTTAACGTGGGTCACCACAAGCATACTCTAGTGACTGAGCATTATGTGAAAGCATTTACCTCACATTAACATATTTACAACAAAATAGAAAAAAGGAGGAAGGGGGGGCGGGGGGGGGCAGGGCAGTCATAGATAGCAGAGCTTAATAAACTGCAGGATTATTCCTGCATGGTGGGTAGGATACCAATAACAACAACAACCCTGCAATTGCACTTTTTATATTCCTTTAACTACATGTTGTTTAACAACCTTTAATAGTAATTACAGTGAAACAACATCAAAATCTGATGGCTGAATACAGGTCCATAAAGAACATTGTTGTTTGTTTTATTAAATATACGCATACAAAAACAGACCACAGAAGGAGAGAACCCCAGACACTTGTGATTTGAGAGGTCACAGATAAATGTTATGGGTAGAAATATTTTTGATGCGACAGGACTTCACTGACAACCTGTTCATCGGTGTAAACGACTGGGAGAAGTGGGACGCTCTCCACAGAGTCTGAAATCTTCCTCAAATACTATGCTAAAAAATAAAAACTGCTCAATTTTCAAGATGATATGAGAAGCAGATTGCGAACTGTCCACATGTCACAGTTCAGCACAAAGTGAAGTGGTTTCATGTGTCCATTTGGGAGAAAAACACTAAAACCAAAAACAAAAATAGACAAACAACTTATCACCCTGCAAACACCCTCTACTCAGCTCGTGATCTACAGCAGCATCACCTCACCAGTTCCAAACTCTGAATGGCGGTCAACACCAGTTTCTTCGTGTGGCAGATCCACTGGCTTACATGTCAGATGTGAAGAATAAATCAGTAATAATAATAATCTGTATGATAGACAACTCAAATCACAATGACACCAGACTCTCACGGAGACATAAATATGTTAAATGTAGAATCATAACCCAGTGAAGAAAATTCTATGTACAGAGCCAATGTTTTAAATGTGTTTGGGGATTAAGGCCACAGTTACAAGGGACTGTTTATCTACTTTACCATTATTGCCACAGGGATGTATTCATACTGCAACCCTACCCATTCTCCTGCCTAACTTACAAAGTCTTTCTTCCGCTAACTCGACCAGTCACTGCTCCATGTAGGACAAACCAACGTCCCACTCTTCTGTGTCACTTCCTGTACACTCACATTCTCCCCTCGCTCACTGAGACCACTCGACCTAACCTCCCATCCCAAGTCACTCAAGCTGGTTAATGTTTAGTCAGTGTGTGTGTGTGTGTGTGTGTGCATGCATGTCTGCGGTGTATTACTTCAACTGTCTTCAGTCCCAGCTTGGCTTAAAGTCCAGACCAGTAAGAATTTTGAACCACAGTCCCTCCCTAACTCTCCCCCCTTCAAAGGAATGACGATATTGCAACGTCTGCACTCGAAAGACATCTTTGGCTGCTGTTGGTTCTGCCTTTGGGTCGACACAACCAACCGACTCGTCACAGCTCGTTTCCACAGCTAATGGCAGGCTAAGTGTGAGACTTTTTGTGCTGTGGATGTGTATTGCACTCTCCCTCCAATTGCCAGGCAGATTTCCGTTCTGCCCCAGAGGACTTGAACCACACAGGTCAACTGTATTACAGAAATAACACATAATATTAAAAGTTGAAATAAAATGCACAATACCAAGCCAGCTAACCAGCAAAACTGCAAAGAGGGGTCGTGGTTGTCGATCAACGACCTCTCTGCCCTGTGTGGCCCTCCATCTCAGCCTGGACCGGGGCTCAGACTGGGCTACGTGGGCCTCAAGTTGGACCCTCCGGGGCTGACTGATTTCTGGGGGGCTGATGTAGTTCCCATGTGGTAGCCTTGGTGCAGGGGTGCAGAGGCTGTCGTAGGCGGCTGGTACTGAGTCAGCGGCTGTGCCGGGTTAAGCATGCTGACCTGGCATGTGCCTGTGGGTCCTGCCCACTGGGGAGCACTGTACGGGGCTGAGGCGTATCCGAAACTCTGGGCAACTGGGCCCAGAGAGCCTTTACGGGGCCCCAGGGAGACGGAGGGATTGGCTGGGTTGGGGAGGTGAGTGCCGGTGGTGGACGTGGAGTTGGAGGGCGTGGGAAGTGTCGGGCAGAGGTAGCCTGGAGCGGAAAATTTACGTCCCATGTTGGCCGGAGGGATAATCTGTGTTTAGAAAAAATAAAATAAAATGTGGGTTACTATGGAGTATAAAGGAATATTACAAAATGTAAGCATCATATATGGACATGCAGTCAAACACAACTTCTATATTAAAAGAAAACTGAATGCCTACATCATGTCCTAGGGCTGCCTGTGCTCCAGTTTTAGGACCTCTCTTGCACTGGGAGAGGCTGATGGCATCTCTGGCCCAGTTATCCACCAGCTTGTGCAGGTCATCAGTAAAGGTGCCCTTGCCCTTCTGGGTGTGAGAGGCAGGAGCAGTGAGTCCAGAGGCCTGGGAAAGCGAAGTAGAGTGGCTCTGGCAGTGGCCTGAACCATTTGTGGAGCTGGTCCCACTTGATCCTGGAAACACAGACAAGATGGGTGAGAAAGTGAACTAGGAAACAAATCCATTGCAGCAGCTCACCATGACAACATGCGCTTGCACGTACCTGTGGAGCAAGTACTGAGGCTCGGCATGGATGGAGAGGATGTGAGCTGCGGTATGGACGACCTGCCTGCTGCTTGAAATGCCTCTGCTGCAGTTTCTGAGGCCTCTGTTGCTGAGTGTGAGCTTTGTTTAGGAGGGGACTCTGAACCATGACTCTGAGGCGAGGCTAGGGATCACACACATGATCAGAATAAAAGATTAAAAAAACTAAACATTTAAGCAGAGGATACTTAGATGTTTGACAAAATATGTACATACACCAACAACTGTGGTACTGACATCGTGGTAAATATTTTTCCAAGTAAATCCAGCTCTTCATTCCTACCTGAGTGTATGGGGCTGGGCTGTCCACTATTGCGAGCAGATTTGTGGCCTTTGCTTTTGAGCCTACGTCGACCTCCAGCCATGGCAACAGCAGGGGAGAGGACAGAAGGGGGAGGAGGTTTTCCCATCCGCGTGAACAGGGCCTCGATCTCCTCTTTCTGACGTGTCTGCAAAGCCTGAATCTCCATCATGTGTCTGTGAGAAGAAAGGCAGAAGAACAGTTATAGTTCTATTGAGCTGTAAAGGAGTAAATAGTGTAAAATAGGACTGTAAATATGTACTTTTCTCTCAGACGGCTGATTTCTTTCTGCAAGGCTTCATCCTCCTTCTCTGAGTCATCGTCATTGTCACTACTATAATGGGCATGTGTGTTCTGGGGGTCAGAGGTCGAGGACGAGGGTCCGTTCTGGATACTGGAGCCGTGTGACAGACTGGGGCTTGCTGCTGGAGCAGGGGTCACTGCGGAAAATTAAATACATGATGAATTAGAATGGGTGAACTTCTAATATTTAAAACGTACCTTAAACATCTGTTTTCTGTGCCCTGGCAATATTTGTTTCAGGCATATTTATTGACCAAATCCAAAGAATATCTTCTAGTGTGATTAAAACATAATGGATTTCCAAGCTTAATAGCTACACAGATACCCCCCACTGCTCCCACTAAAAACTCCCACAGCAGCTTGTGCAACAGTATGCATTTAAAAACAGTGAAGGAAAAAGAAAGAAATGCTTCCACAGAGTCTGTGATTTTCTTTAAAGACACCTCAGAGGGTATTATCCCATTTATACAAAAACAGTTCAGCTAAGTGATAGCAGTGAAAGAGCTCATAAGACAGTGTAAATAAGGAACTTGAATGTTTCTCAGTCCAGTGGGAGGAGGACTTTACACTAGTTCATCAGAGCTGGCTTCTGTTAATTTGTTGTGAACCTGCTACACACCTGTGACGGAAAATCGGCCCACTTTAGCGCCAGCGTCTGGCTGAGATGTGGCGTTGTTGCTCGCGGAAACTTGGAAGCGCCCAATAGTGGTGGACTGACTGGCAGGACCGACCGAATGAGATGAGGCTCCATTTATAGAATCAGTTTGACAGACTCCTTTGGACAGAGTGGATGATCGGTGGAGGGTATTTTCTGGACTCGAGGGGGAAGAGGACGATGACGAAGAAGATGACGAAGAGGAAGTCGAGGACGGCGTAAGAGAAGAAGAGGAAACGACACTGGAGGGATCTGGCACACTGCTGGACGCACCATCAGTGGCAACAGACACCTGAGAGAGAGACGAGAGAGATCATGTTAATGAGATGAGCCCGAGGCTTAAGAGGTTTAACCATTTAAAACGGGATTGACCGTCTTCACTCTAAGCTTCGACGAAAACTCACTTGGAAACGTCCGAGAGTGAAACCTGCTGCTGGAGGCTGGGCTGTGCTACCTCCTTGAACAGTCTCTGGACTCAGAGCTCTCCTCAACTGGGCGTCCAAATTACCCAGAGGTTGCTGTGACTGTGGGACACAAAAACAGGATATAAGGACCAATCGAACAGTACATTAGTTCACTTACACCAGATAAAAACCTACAGAAATTAATGGGGCTAGTAGTATAGCAGGGACAATGTAGAGCTCACCTGGTTTGGTCCAGGAAAAGGGGGCACAAGGTCAGAAGGGGGTGTAGCAGCTTGGTCAAAACCAGTAGGTAAAGTCTAAATGATAGAACAAAAACACATATGTCAATATGTAATTATATTACCACAGTCAACAGCATGCATGACTTATTTTTGGATGGAAACTTCACTAACTTGTGCCCTGGGCTTAGTTGGAGGGGTCTGGGCGTGTCCTGCCGGGGTGACTCCCTGTCCTGGGGTGGTTGTGGGGCCCAGGACACTCGGTGCCCCAGAGGTGAGAGGAAGGTTAGATGGTGGCACTATGGCGGATCCAGGTGGAGGGGAAGAAGTCCCAGCAGGAGGAGAGGAGGTCCCCGTGTTCTGACTGGGATCCGCTGATGCTGAGGAGGCAGAGCTCTGATCTTTGAAGAGGGACCGTAGCTTCTTATCTAGAGCTTGGATGTCATCTCTGCCAGCGTTCTTGGTCTGGAGCTCGGCCCCCTCTGCCTCCACTGGCTGTGGCTGGACCTGGCTCTGACTGGGAGGTGCGGGCTGAGCAGAAATGGGTTGGGAGGTCGTGTGCTGTTGCGCATGGTTGGATGAATTCATAGGCTGAGAGGACGTAACACCGCTATTAAACGGCTGCTGCTCTGAAGTGGAGACAGTTCCAGCACTACTGGACGTACCACCAGAAACAGAACTACTGCTCAGCTGAGGCCCAGGTGCTGCAGGGACGGACGTCTGCGTTGATGGAGGAGAAATGTTGGACGATGAGGGAGGGATGCTAGCAGCTGCTGGAAGCTGTGAGGGGGCTGTTTCATGGGAAGTCTGGGGTGGTGGACTGGGATCACTGGTGACGGACTTGGACTGAAGAGATGAAGGTGGAGGGGAAACTCTCCCCGCCGAGGAAGGAGGTGAGGATGCTGCAGTAGATGTGAGAGACCCACTAGGAAAAGTCGTGCTAGTGGTGGACGCTACAGTTTCTGGAGGAGTCAGGCTATTGTTAGAGTTTGGGCCAGCCTCAGTGGGCGGGACAGTGCCTGGTTCCAGCTCAGCAGTAGGGAGATCAATGGTGTTGCCTCTCTCTACATGAGTCTGCTTCATTTTACTGAAAGCTTGCTGGAGAATCCCAGATGGAGCAGAGAGAGAAAGGCCCAATGTCATCTGGGGAGCTAGAGAAAAGGTAGAAAGGTGAAGTTATATAGATGAAATTTATAGGACAGAAAATGTGGGCTTAAAAAACAAAAAGTAATTTTCTCCTACCTGTAGCAGGTTCATCTCCAAAGGAGGTATTAGCAGAGGAACCTCCAAAGAACTGTTCTTTAAGACGAGACTCTGGCACTGGACTGACTATGAACCTTCGTCCTGCTGAATGCACCACTTGAGCCGTAGTGCTGGGAGAAATACCTGAGCAATAAGGGAAAGCCAACTGTAAGTGGGAATTCACAAACACAGACAAATCTAGGCTTAAGTACTGTATTTTCAGCTAAAGTTTCTTCACCTGGCAGCATGGGGACAGACAGCTCGGGCTGTTGTTGATCACTCATCTGCAAAAGAGACAAAAGTGAAGATATTAACATCTTTATGTTAAGTAGGAGAGGATGGGCATTTGGCTACTAAAGTGATGTGTAGTAAAGTAATACCTGGGGAAAGCCTTCCTTTATGCCCTCTCCTTTCTCATCAGCCATTTCTATGACTTCACGGACCTGCTCGATGAAGGACTCTCTCTCACTCTCCAGGATGAACTCACTTTCAACCTGAAACACAAAGCAAAAGAAGTTCAGCTGCTGTGACTAAAACAACATATACTGTGTGAAAGTGTCACAGAAAGGCTTCTTGTTTGTGACGGTCGCTGGTTGAGGGCAGTAACATCAGGGCAGTATCTGTTCTTTGATAGTGTTTTTTGTTCAGTGGATGTTTAATGCTTTTTCAGTGGGATGTTGTGAATAGTAGCCATACAAAAGCATATACTGTGTTTACATGGTGGTAAATATGCTGGAACATTCAACATATCTAATTTTCGACATGTTTAGTGACAAAAACTAAAGAACCACTACTACCATGATCTGTGCGATCTCTTCTGGGTTATCGCCATCAAGGTCAAATCTGAAGGTCACCATCTTCCTGTTGTGCGTTTCCAGCTGGCACTCGGCTACTCTGTCGCCCACATTAGAGATCTGAAAAAGATTGATTTATGTTAAAATTATTTAGCGACAGAGAGCTTAAAGAAGAGTATGAAAGGACTCATCGGATCAAATGCGTACACTCAGAACATTCAGTTTGGCCTTTGTGGTCTTCTCGTGGCGGGAGCGGCTGCGTACGGACCGCCGCTGGTGACGCTTCAGCGAGCGGCCCTCATGTCGACCTCCTGATGTAGAACTTCCATCATTACCGTCACTGAGACCTGAAGCTGCATCCGACAGGCAGCTGAAAGAGACACAAATCCATAGAAGTCACGTACTGTCTGACGCTTTTTAAATCTGTATGTTACTGTTTACTGTCATGCTCTAAGACAAACAAGTTAAATTCATTGTATGCAAAAACCTGCTTGGCAATAAGAGAGTTTCTGATTCTGATTGTGTTCATGAAACTGGACTTTTAAAAAATAACTTCCATCTTACCTGTCGGCAGAAGGTGGCGCTAGTACTGAGGACCCTGCTGGCTGATCCACTGGTGCTGACTGAGGAATACTCACAGGAGCCTGAAACAGCATTTTCAGATATCAAGCATTTCATCTTAACAGCAGATTTCTACATCAAAATCCAAACTGTTAGAATATTTCACAAAGCTTTAGGGGTCTAGACCGTAAACTGCACACAGCCTTCTCATGTATTTGATTACATTTTGATCATTAATGCTGACCAACTTTTTACGAAAATGTATTGGTTTAAAGCAGACCATCCACCAGGTGGAGCTGTTTAATCTGGTGAAATATAAAACAGGCAGAGGCGCCATTATTCAGCTCTGAGGCGAAGTGTAAATACTGTGGTGCAATAGCGTTTTTTTAAATTAAATTTTCTTTACAATGCAAATCATTGTCTCGGTTGCTCTTACATGGAAATTAGCTCTGTTTATATAGGATACAGCTGTCCTGCCAAATCCAGTTTAAGCCCTGCAGGTAGTTACAATACTGTGACATTTACAACTACAATAAAATGTCTTGTGTTGACGACATGCCTCAACAGATTTTATCTACTGGGATGCTGTCGACATGGTGGGTTTTCAGCAAAGCAGCTTTTAGCATGTAAAGTGTTCCCTTTTAGCTTTTCAGAACATCAATTTGTAATGTTTACATTGCTTTTGGTCCATTTTAACAGTCAATGAAACAGTTCTATACTTGTACAGTTTAGTAGATATTATGGTTCATTCTTGTAATAACTATGGGTGAAATAAATGTAGATGAAGTAGTGCCCTCCTTAAGTTGATATGCTTACTGGTACTCTAATAGAATTTACAAGAATTATTTACATGAATACTTTAAGTGTGCACCCTTAAATATTCTTCAAGGACGACTGTACACATACTTCAAGGAGCAAGAACCATTTAAGGAGTGAACCAAATGCTTCACACCTGACCCACATACACCCACCCACACAAATTTGTTTTGTGCTCTGTAGAGTACCTGCAGAATAGAGAGGCATGAAGCCTGATAGAGGAAGTATAGGTGCTCTGCGTTGAGTGGAGGAGACAGGATAGGAGGACTTGGATCACTGGTCCAAGACTGAGTCATGCAAGAATAAGAAGCATGCAGGAAGGAAAAGTGGAAGAAAAAAAAGGGTACAGTCATGGTAATGAGAGTTGTTTATCAAGAGAAAAGAAAGAAAACATGCAAACAAAAATGGACAGCATGACATTCATACTGTAGTATGGTTCAGCAAAACAGGGGAATTAGTGAGTTAAACACCTATATATGGCAGCATATGTGTTAAAGCAACATAAAAGACACTGCATGTTAGGTGTGAGGAGGGGAGGTATGTGTGTCACCTGTAGCTGCTGAGCTCCAGGCTGTGCTTGTGGTAGAGCAGAGCTCTGAAGAATACTGCTGCTCTCTGGCTGTTGCTGGGGGAGAGACGACTGAGAGGACGGGGGTAAGATCACTTGCTGGGAGGGAATCTACAAGAATAGAAAGATGGAGGGGCAGAAACAAGAGCAAAGTTGAATAAGCAGGAAGTTGAGATAAACACTGACACATGACATTTATAATGGCATCTATGGTGCTTCCTGAAAATCTGGTTTCTTTCAAATCTAAATCTTTCAGAGAATTACTTTGGCTCTAATCCAAAACCACGTGAACTTACCTGTTTAATAACACAGCTCCACAAATCATACGGTTTATGCATTTCCCATTATGGGGTGTCAAGGTGTTGATTAGTTGACATTTAATGTCAACTCGATAGTGACTATTAGTGACTTATAAACTGCACGTCAATCCACACTGCTTGCAGTATTTTTTTCTGGATACCATAAAACACTGCTTGAAGTCTTGTATAACTAAGCAGAAACTTACCAGGGCCTGCTATAGAGATTTATATAAACAAAAAGTCTGCTTTGTTTTTCAGACACTGTGGGTGTATTTAAGAGTTGGAGCAGGAAAATGGGACATTTTATCTACCTGAGGGGGGAGCGATGGTTGGTAGTAAACTCCGTACTATAAGAAACGAAACATAACACAGGGTAAGAGTAGGAAACTTGAGAAGAAAAAGAAAAGAAAAGAAACCTATGGAGGAAAAAAAACAGACTCAGGATTGTGAGTGCTGCTTACAACACAGCTGCCTGAACCGGTGAATGTAGGCTTTAAAGATTAACTTAACACCATGTGAAAATCATGTTTTTGCTGACTTTGAGTGGTTGAAGTTCAGATTTGCTGCAGTGATACAAAAGTGTACTCAGGGTGTGTTCAGCACAACCTGATATTGCTATTAGTTGTGTTTTTACTTGAGGTCAGTGAAACAGTTCTCAGCTGGTGTGAAGTCACCCTTCAAAGACACTAAGATGTGCAGGACAAGATCTACCTGTGGAGGTGCTCCTGGAACAGACTGGTTGGTGGGTGCAACAGGAACAACTTCAGGCTGGACACCCTGCATCTGGGGTTGAACCTAATGCACCACAGAGATAAAGCGACAGCACATGTGGTGAAAATTTGACAAAGAAGATAGCAAACTGATTAAATTGCATGCGCAGAGGAGCATAGGGGCACGTGTAGTGCAGCAGTAATGACCTCGGCTGGGCAAAACTGAGACCCCTAACTTCAAGCCTGAACACAGCTGGCCATGTTTGTGAGTGGAATGTATGATTCTCATCACATCACAAGCAACTTCTACAAGCTGACTGCATCTATTGGTTGTCTACAGTACTGTCCCATGGCCAGAAGTAGATTAAACAGCGACAAAGACTGCAGTAAAGAGGTAATCAGGCAAATGGGGGCCAAAATCCACAAATATAAATAGAAACTTGGTCTGTGGAGTTTTGTAATACGCAATTAATTCTAAATAAAATATTCCAGGGAGAATTTATCCAAACATAAGATGATGCCCTATTTCCTCACCACTGACAGCTGCTGCTGCTGTGGTTGATCATTTTGTGTCTGCAGGGATGATGCCTGGGGCTGGAGGTGCTGACTGGGAGGAGAGCTGTAGGATACTCCAGGCTGAGGAGGCTGGGCCTCAGGAAGGATGGTGGAACCAGGTAGTTTATCTCCCATGTGACTGACTGTAAGAGAGAGAGGCAAGAAAATAAATTCATGAGAAAATTCTAAAACTAATCCAGTGGGTTGTCATGCAGCTGACTGTGCTTGATGCATACCTCCTCCAGTGTGCTGCAGCTGTTGGTGTTGGTGTTGGTCAGCCTCAGGCTCCTCTGACTCTGGCTGGATGGCAGCTCCACTTGGACCCTGAAGTGGGACTGGGACTTGCCCTATTGACTGGGGGACATAAGGGGCCCCCTGCGTCATGCCAGTGAGTTGTGGTTGTGGAGTGTTGTAGTTGGAGCCCTGAAGGCTCTGCTGAGATGCTGGTTGGGCAGGCATCTGTGTGCTGTGTTGGGTAGGCTGTGGAGGGACATAAGAAGCAGGCTGTGGCACTGGCTGTGACTGAGACACCTCCATGCTAGGCTGTTGGCCTGGTTGTTGTGCTGGCAGTGACTGGTTCTGTAGTTCTTCCTCTAGCCTTCTCTTCTCTTGATCTTCTCTGACCTTCAAGACAATCAACAGAAATTGTGTTTAAATAAAAAAAGCAGCCCTAAAGGAAAACGTGTGAACATCAAAGCACAATTCTGTACATCCTGTGAAAGAGGTAAGATTTCAAGCAAATCATCCAAGCAAAGAGTAAATATAGATAACATTAGATGCACTGTCATGAGCAGACACACCTGCTGACGTTGAGCCCTCTTGCGACTGATTAGAGACACTCTGTCCTTTATGGCCTTTGCAATGGTCTTGTGGTCACCTTCATACACATAACCAGACTCAACCTACGGCACAAAGACATGACATGCAATTAAGCGATGAACACTTCAAAGCCTGTGGCAATAACCCTTCTCTATGTTTGTCATGCAGTGATCTGACTAAATCAGATTAACGCAATTAAAAGTTCAATTCACCATTTCCTGAGCCACATCCTCTGGGACATCTTTGTTGAGGTCAAACGAAAACTCAATAGCTTCATTGTCTTTGTACTTCCCCTTTAGCTTTTTTATATCTTCAATTCTCAGCCACAACTTAATAGCCTGCATCTCTCCATCGTCCTCTTCTGCCAGCTCCACACGCACGCCTGTATCTTCCTGGAAGAAGGCATGGTTCAGAAGGTCCTTGATTGAGTACCTGAAGAAATTGGGGAAAAAAGCAGTGAGCAAAAAAGATCAAACGGTAGAGATACACTACCCTAGACTTGATAAATGTGTCATTCTTTAGAGACCTCTCATCCTTGTTTTGGCGAATACATCCCTCGATGATCTCCTTCACTTCAGGAATGGCCACCTTGTCGAAGCTGCCTGGCTTCACCCCCTAAAGGAAACACAGATTTCAGAATGAGAATGGCTCTCTTAACTTTTTCTTATTCTGGGTAATTACCTCACACCTTGTTTTCTCAGGGACTGTACATTAAAACCACAAAAACAGTTATCATATCCCAGAGGACTGACAACTGACAACCTTAAAATAACTTCCTCTTTAATTTTGTTTGTCAAATACGTTAAAAGGAAGGATGGCAAGCTTGCTGCCAAACCTGCACTCTGGGCACATTAGTGTGTAATATGGTTTGAGGTTTGTAATACTTAAATTACCACGTCTCCGTCCTCAGAATTTATGTATGAAAATATTTTTTAATTTAAAAAAGTTTGACTACCAGGTACAATATGTCCCCTACACCACTAAAAGGAAATTCTTTGTGTATGTGTAATGCAACCTTTAAGTTTCCACATCACACTGGTTGCTTACTAGACTTGAATTCACTTCCAAATTAGTTGTAATTTCACTATTCCTGTTTGCGTGTTCACTTCCCTTTAAACTCAGATTTTAGGGGATCTCTGGGAAACATTCCACTTTCTTAAGAAGAATCTGAAAACAGACCTTCCAGTCTCAAAGTCAGCACATGCTCCATTTTGTTCAGTGAAGGTCAAACATCTAAGAGCAGCAGTATTGACCAAAACACATTTTTGAGTGGAAGGGGATGATAAGGGTTTCAGAATGTCAGATGGTGGGAAAAGGAGGGCATAAAACGACAAAGGATGGCTGATGAGAGGTGAGCCAATAGCGAAAGGAAAGTGCTTACTGCAACAAGAAAATGGAGGACTGGCTGAGAACAAAACAGTTGAGCTAAATGACAGAAGAGGAATAACAGCCCATCTCCCAAAGGAATACTACAGTAACATCAGAGCATGTGACACTATCTAAATGTAGGCTCAACAACCCCAATAGCACTTTATATCTTAACTGAGTCAACTGTCTTTGTACTCTGCAGCATGAGCCATCGGTGGCTCATAAAAGTGAGCTAAAAAACACAACACTTAACAGCGGGGCACATTGGTTTTTAAATCCTCTGTTCAGTCACGTGGCTTCAGACTCCAGCTCAATTTGCATTTTACTGTTAAAGATAAACTGAAGGTATTGATATAGATTTAAAAGCACGTTTTGTAGATAACATTCTTGGAACAGGTTCAACCTCTTTATCTGTGAGACTCTTGAATGAATCATATAGGTGACTATGCATTGCAAAAGAACGCCGCTATGAATCATATGAGTCAAGCTAAAAATATGAGTCTTTCTTTCACAGATACTGCCCTTCTGACATCATTATGAGACTGAACTATTAGTCGTTAAAGCAGCAGGTTTGCGCTTGTTCGGGATCTTTTAAATCATCCATGCGTTATGTTGATATGCTTACATTCGCTATAACTCAGAAGGAAAGAGAGAGAGAGAGAGAGAGAGAGAAAAAAAAACTGTATGAAGTAAAGCAAACAGGGCTTGTTGGTATAAAGAACATGCTTTGTCTTTCTAAATGTGTGGGTTCTTCAAACAGAACAGCAGAGAATCATCTGGGACATTTAGGAATGCATGAGGAGAGGATAAAATATGTAATATAAGCTAAAGAGGTGTCAGCACGAATAAATAATGAATCCAGAATTGGACACTAGCCTTCGTGGCACATAGGAAGAGGTGAAGGCAGGGCAGAAGGGTGACATGGTGGGTTGAAAAGAACACTTACGCTGGTAACTCTGCGGTAGATCTGTGCAGCGTTCTGGCACTCTGAGTAAGGGTACTCTGAGGTGGCCATCTCCAGCATGCACATTCCAAAGGCATACACATCCACTGACTCGTCGTACTTCTCCTCATACATCTCAGGCGCCATGAACTCAGGGGTACCTTAAATCAAAACAACCATTCAGAACTCTCGAACTCCCTTACTGATTGAGTGGGCTTCTCACAACCCATTGCCCCTCTGCTCCTCTAACCCAAGAGGGGTTGAGGAAGAGGAGGATGAGAAGAGTGACCCAGCCTGTTGACACCTCCTGGAGAAGAACCTGTGAGGTGAAAGTTGGAGGAGAGAGAAAAAAAAGAAAGGGGGAAGGAAAGCAAAAAAGAGACAGAAAACAAAAAAGGAGGGAGAGGCTGGGCTCAGTTAGACTGCTGAGAAGGAGGCACGTGTTTGTCTGTGTAAGACCCTAACATGCTGGGATATAAGAGTGCGACTGAGGTAGCCAATGTGCAGAACACACGTGTCAGCCAGACTGTTGGCAATGTTCAAAACTTATCTCTAAAATGAGGCACTTAGGAATGACACCTGGTCCGGAGTACGGTTCAATTTGCGACGCCAAATTAGCTCTGTAAGGAAAATACGACTAGCTATGGAAATAACTTTTGTCAAGACCTTACCTTGCAACCACAAAAAACTTTGCCATTTGCAGTACACTCACCTTTCGAAGTTTGACTTACCATCTCTCCTTGACCTGCAGGAGTAAAGTGTTATGGTCAAGGGCTGAGAGAAGCAGGTCCCATAGCTAGTTAGAGTGCTCGACAGTGTGTCCCTGCACATCAGCTCTGTTGTATTAATCGATTATTTTACATTCAATCTCAGGTCTTACACAGAAAAACTCATTTGGTTATTTGAATGTAATTGTTTTTGATATTGATGTGTATTACAGCACACTGTCAGACTTACCAGGCCCATAAAAGATCATACTTACTCAATGACCAGCAGTACCCTATTCATTCCAAACAGCAGAATGGGGCACAGCTGAAGCTAGAGCCTACATTTTAAAAACATACCCAAGAACATGAAAGTAAAATAAAAAAAAATAAAATAAAATTTAAAAAAAAACAACAAAGAAACAAAATAAAAGCTGACAGAGAGAAAGTGGAGAGCGCTCCCTGGACACAAAGACGGAGCAAAAAGATTCTGCGTTCCTGCAATATTTTAAAAAGACAGCAAGAGACAAACGCTAGGAAAAAAATAACAAAAATAAAAAACCTGTTGAGGCAAACCCATAGAAAGAGATGTTAAACATTATTGGTATAACTGGCAAACAGACCACATATTTCCAAACCACAGAACAAAGACCAGTCTAAGACAGAAGCAAAGGCCATACCTTTAGCCATGGCCAGGTAAGCCTGCAAGAAGGCATGACAACTATTATGATGCTGATATTAATGTTTAGCAGTAGGAGAAAAGTTAGGCGCTACTTACTTTCAGTAGATGCCTGGAAAAAAAACCCTCTCTCTTTTTGGAGAAACATAGAACAGAAATTCTCTGTACAAAGACCAAACTTGATAGAAGTTACCATGAGTATGCAAAGAGAGAAAGCCTTGTGGTTATCTGTCTAAGATTACCACAATGTTTGGCCTCCATTTGAGCTGTGGTTTGAGAGACAGCTGAAACTCTGTGGTCTGTTTTTGAACCACATCGTCAGAAAAAAAAAAAAAAACAAGTCAAAAGGAAAATACCTTCTTTAAACACCATAGTTTCCATACAAACACAGTATCATGACTTCAGATAAGGCACCGTCCCACTGCAGGACAGGGTTTAGGAGGTAGAAGTGACTTTGGGGTCGTACCTATAACACTCTTGGCAAATGATGCGCGCTTCAGCGTAGCTAGTCCCAGGTCTCCAATCTTGACAGATCCTGTCGGGCCTGTGATGAAAATGTTGTCACACTTAAGGTCCCTATGGATGATTGGAGGAGCCCGAGTATGAAGGAAGTGGAGTCCCTTGAGGATTTGTCTACACCAGCTCCTCAGCACTTTAATTTTCATCACCTTGAAACGCTTCAGATATCTAGAAGAGAACAGATCACAACGCACAGTCTCTGTGAAGCAGTGAACAAATAATTCTAGCAAATGTTGTCTTTTAATGTGGACCAACTTAGCAACTGTATTAAACATTAATCCTAATTTTATCAATTTATCTGTTACCAGTTTATACAAAGTTCAACCAATATATGTTCTCAGAGAGAAATCTCAATTATTATAATGATGATCAATATCAAAGGACTTTGCTCTCATCAAAATGTGACGTCTTAGTTTATACTGTATATGAGTCTTGTATTAATACGTTTGAGACTTACGTTTTGAGTGTGCCAGAAGTCATGAGTTCTGTGACCAATACAATGCACTTCCTGCCTTTGGACGGTCCCTCCCAGGAGTCATAAAAGCGAACAATGTTGGGATGCTGGAGTCCCTTTAACATGCCGGCTTCCTCCTTAAAGCGTTGCCGCTCTGCCTTTGACAGCTTACGATCCTACAGGAAACAAGAATAAATTATTTAAAGCTCTCACACTACTTATGGGGCAGCATTATTTATAGATGTAAACATAACTTACAGTAATAAAAAGACAGTCGATACATGACATCAGTGTTAATGTCCATGTGAGGTAAGCGTTCCCTATTTAGCATCTGAATGTGTCCATTCATAAAAAGAAAATGTTTATGACTCTACCGGAAGCTTAAGTAAGAAAGGTATTACAGTACACAGTTCCTTCCTTCACACAAAAATTACACATTTGCTTCAGCACAAATAAACATACAGTGGGAGACAGAGGAATGTGGCCCTGCTTTCTCTGGCAGACGACGGCAAACCAAAAGGAATGTGTCTAGCTTTGTCCTTTCTTTCAAGCAATCCAAAATGAGAGACGACCCAGAGCTGACTGAGAACACAGAAGATCAGTATAGCATAGACTACAGCATCCAAGGAGTAAACAGATCAGGCTTTTTACACCAAATCACACATGCTGTCTCTACAACCCTTCTTACTACACTATGCAACACAAGCTACATTCATCAGTCAGATGAAACCGGTTCAGGCAATGCGAGAAAATGAATAATCAAAACCACAAGACAATATCAATATGCATTTTCCAAATGATGTCTTTAGATGTGGAAAAAGCGTCTGTTTGCCATGCATACACATTTACATTTGATAGAGTGATTATGCTAATCTAGACAACCCAGCATCATTATTTACAACATTAAAAATTGGAGACAATAATGAATATTGATATATTTGAGGCTAACACTGTGTATCCGAACAAAGCTGTGGTAGATGATAAGAGTCGACAAATGTTTGGCAGCTGATGGGGCTGTTGATGAATCAGAGTAAAATGTATGTAAACCTGATAGCACTGTCGGCCCAGTTGGATTTAACATTCCATCAACTAATGCATGAATAAGGATTGGCATTAATGCCGTTTGTAGTTCTGCGTATTAACAACAAATCTGGAATATGCGCAGCCACCCTTCTCAAGTTTCCTGAGCAATTCCTAGCATGACCTACATTTACAGCATGCATGACTACAGAGCTGCAAACTCATAGCAGTTGGACAAGCCCAGTGAAGCCCTGCAGCCAAAGACCTCCCTTGAAACCCACAGAGACCTGGCCACAGGCCAAGCTGTCCAGGAAATTCAGCCCATTTGTGAGTGGAGAGAGTGTTTTTGACTTGGTGTGTGTTTTAGCAAGTGACAGAAAACTTTCCAGTGACTAATATCAGTTGGAGAGAACCGGAGATATCTCAGAAGTTTATTGTCTACATTGTCTGAGGGCAATGCTGAAAAGACGAATCAAGAAGCTTAAGTGAAAAATGTTCGAAGCAACAATGAGGAGGAAGGGAGGACGCTGAATCAGAAATCAATGTCAGGAAACACAAGGTTAGAGAAGATGGGCAAGTAACAGAGGCTCTACCATACAACTGGACCAAGTGACCTACATTTCAAAGTATTTACTCATTTATCTGGTGGGGCAGTGGTTTCCCTTTCTCTTTCTGTGCACCATGTCAAAACAGTTGTGCAAAACATCCCCAGCGGCATGCCTAGCCCCCCTCCCAAAATACCACAGTACTGTATAAATGACTGTACTTCCACAGTAGGCACACTGCCACTTTGATAATTGGCTTAAACAAATGCCTTCCCTTTCCAAGTTAAACCAGTTAAAAACAGCATGATTGAACTTGAGAAAGAAGCATCACAAGGAGATAACTTTAGGCTGTAGCCAGTTACTACTGCGTGCTGATTGTAAAAGATGACATATGGTCCACATGTTAAAAATATAGTTTTTCCAAAGTGTATGGAAAAAAACTAAAGAAAGAAAATAAAAAGTTTTCAGGACTCAGGGCCTGTAAAAATCTTGTGGGAGTTCACCATCTTGCGATCATAAGAAACACATCACACTCCTTATGACGGTCAATTTAAAGAGTTCTTTGGCCTGTTCAATGTCCTGCTTTTACTGTCAACAATAACGTCTCCTGACAGTCTAGGATGTATCTACAAATGCTAACCTGAGAAGTCGAATATTCAAAATTCAATCAACATGAAAGAAAAACAAATACTCTCTATCATTACAACTAAGTTCATTTTTCAGTTACATATTTTTGACATCACATTGTTTCACTTTAATTCAGTTAATTGTAATGAATTCCTATTCCAGCTGTAAAAGACCTTGTCAGGAAAAGCTGGGGCATTCATTTCAGATGTACGCTGACCAAACAGCAATAACCACAGAAAAAACCAAATCATGAAAACAAGATACGACCATTCAGATTGCAACCTCGGAGACCAGGAGCCTTTGCTGCATATTATCTCCCTCTCTTTCCCTCTCCTGTTTACTGTGGGTTGCTGCTATCAGCGGTCTAATAAAAGGAAAAGGCAAAAAATAATATACTGGGCATGTTTGCTTGGCTGGCAGATGTCACAGCTGATCAGCTGAGGTGGCAGCGGTTTGCTTACATCGTTTAGACTGTCTGTCTCAAAAAATCCCAAAAAGATGCTCACAGCTACTAAAAAAAGAACATCAAGCCTTGAAGCACAATTGCAAAACCTTTTAAGTGTTTTAACAGATTGCGTCCACATTGTTCGTCAGTTGAAGGCACCATCGTATTTAGCCTCGGAGGGCAACAGCAGCTGACAAAGTGGGTATGAGTCAGCTCACTAAAAAGCTGTGTTGCTACCACTACTGCTGCAATATCTGTGTAATATAACTCTGATCTATGACAAAGTGCCCTTGAAGAGTGTCTGAAACAAGAGACAACATGCATGGAAGAAATACAGAACCTGGAATGTGTGCATATAACATACAGTGTACACACACACCTATGAGTGAGAGAAAGATGCAGAAAATAATTTTTAACACTTAAAACTGTTGACGTTTAAGAGTAATATCCTCCAAAGCTGACGAGTCAACACTTTGTTTCTGGCCAACTCTGCAGAGTCAGCACTACACTTATCTGAAATCATGATCCCATTGCTTTACACGCCCCTCAACAAGCCAATGCACGGTTAGGTCGTTAAAGTGAGAAAACCCAATTTATTATCCAAGTTAAAACATGCAGAGTAGCTCAATCTAAGCAGACCGGAAAAAAAAAACAACATAGATTAAAGTGTTAGAAATGGGGCAGTTACTATCCTTTTCAGAGCTCCATATCTACTTAGCAAAAAGTCCTGACCTGATTTCCACAATGCATACAATTTCTACATGCATAAACAAAAATTTAATTACTTTAATTAATTCAAGCAGGGCTACAAATAGTGATTAACAATAAATTAAATACTAGAACAATAATAAACAGGTTAATTTAATATAATCATAGTTAGACTTTTAACAAGAGTCGTACTGTGATGATCTGTCATTCAACTAATGATTCTGAGTACATTTTAGATATAAGTACTGTAAAAACTTACAGTTTTATCTGACAGTTCACTGTATTGTAAGTCATTTTCACCAGTTGCCAAGCCCTAATACTACCGGAACAGTTTGTGTTTTCAGCCAATGCAAATTACATCTATTGCTATTAACTACAGTTTCACAAAAGCAGAGTGGAAAACTGTGCTTCTAGGCAAAGGCCATCATAAATAACCCAACAACCCTAAAAATAGACAGAGGGAAAAAAGGGCCTGTGATCATGCTGGGGGCTGGCGCTGTCAGGTCCCTTCTCTGAGGTTGACACTGAGAGCTACATGGAGCCCTCCGGGCAGCATTGGTTCAGATTTGGGTAACGGCTTAATGCCAAGAAGCCATGTTAAACAGCCTCACTCTTATTTTCTTAGCGGTTGCATTAAATGCAGAATCTTCCAGCGGCCAGTAATCTTTGGTGTTAGCATCACAGTGTGATACATGAGAATGGCATCTAACATCACTGTGACTGCCAGTCAAACTGTCAGCAAAAGATACGTTTACAGATTCAGACTATTTCATATCCACCAATGTGAAAGTCAGATTTTAATGTGGTTGAACAGAAAAACACGGTATCCACCTCAACAGATCATGGCCTTCAATAAATTAACATTTTCTTAACAAAGACAGGAAAATCAAATGGTTTCTATCTGAAAAAGGCTGCTTCTGACCAATATTTCTCAAATCCTTGATATTATATCCTATTAAAAAAATAGAAACAGCTTTATCTGGTTTAGATAAGTCTGGAAATATGCTTTGTAATATATGAAAAGCAAATGTTGTTTATATATATTCCACACCTATTAAGGGAACCTATTTGCTCAAAGTATTTTACATGAAAAAATATATATAGGTCAGAAAATACAGTAGCGCTCTCAAAATCTGGGTGACTCACTCAAGGCGTCAAAGTTTAAAAGGGCATAACCTTTCACGCAGTTACAGTCAGGAGGGAACCAGCGTCATGCAAAACAGCTGATCCTATCACTTCAGCTTTTCAGTCTATGCTGAGCGCTCTGGGTTTTCTTAAACTGGTCCAACTGCTTCACTGCTCCAGTGAATCTTTTACAGTAAACCTTCAGATATGATCAGAAAGTCTACCTCATGTTGCTGACATTCAGAAATGTGACGTTTCTTTCCAAATTTGTCACATGTATCAAACTCCCTCAAATACACAATTAAAATTCTAGATGTTACGTTAAACCTGAAGGCTACCGATCAAGAAGAGTAATGACGGGTAAGTCCCTATGCTACACTATTTGAGTATAGCGTGACACTCCCAGCGGATGCCACCGGCCAGCTGGACACAGAGCTCCCACAGCTCCTAAAGGATGCCTGGCCTTCTCTTCCTCATCTTTCAAAGTTTGGCTTCAGCCAGCACTACAGAGGAAGGAGGTGGGGAGGCAGCCAGTGGAAGATGACATGGTCGAAAATGGATGAGTGAGCAAGAAAGGGGAGGTTCCTAAATGTATTCCTCTCTTTTCCCCTCAACTTCCTCTCTGTGGTGACCTACTTATTGTTCAGACATGCCTGCAACGTGAGATGCGAAACAAATATGTGGGTTCAAGGGTGGGTGAAAACGGGTGAACGCCTAGAAATTCTTAGACAATTGTGGACAGATGGCTCTCCAGACTGAAAGAACCAGGACCATTTCATTTACACTTCAAACATGAAGTTTTTGGGCAAACGTTTGACGTCGGGCAAAGTGGGTTTTTGTTGATTCATTCGTAAAACACTGTGACCAGAGGGAAGTACTGCGTTCCACTGAAATACATCAGTTTCATTATGGTTTTATGTGGACAGTCCCTGAAAATGGAAAGTAACACATAAAAAAGAATAAATAGAAGCCACTTTTGTTCCCTCTGAGTCAACCTTTTACATATTTGTCTCACTTTACAGGTTTCTCTGATCTGAGAACGGCAAAAAAATCGTCTGTCAAATCTGAACGGTTTTCTGGTGTACAGCGAACATCGTGGCACAGGACTGCCATAGTGTCTGTATCATTTTAGCCATGTTTAAGGAAGATTAAAGGATCTTATGAGTAGAAACCTGTCAGACATGTTTCATGAGCAAATAGGCACAGGATTTGCTGCTGCTTCCAGCTGACACCGAATTCCCAGCAGTGAAGAAACAACCCCGATTACTGTGTGCATCAATGATTCTGGTATAAACAGGAAAGAAAACAATAACCGTATGAGCCCCTACTTCCTTCTTAAACAATTCAATATTAAAATTCATTCTGCTGGTATGTGTTTGCTTTTTAAATCAAATTAAAAAGCAAAGAATGGTTCATATACTTCTAGCACTGTCAAGAGCTCCTAAGATGAAATGGCTGTCATGACAACAATGTCTCAAGTAAATTAGCACATAGAAAATTACGTTTTTTAACATTTGTCCCCACTAAATATGTATCCAGGATGTATGAAGAACTTAAAACGAGCACTTGATGATCATGGGACTGCTTTAACAACCTGCGACATGTGACAGGGGATTTCAGCTTCTCAAATGTAGCCCGACAGTTTCTAGTACTGAAACTCCTGTGCTGACGGAGGAAGGAAGAGGAACGAGCGCATCGGGTTACACATTCATATTTCAGAACCGACCATGTGCCTCAAACACAGCTGTTCAAAGTAAAAACGGTATGAATCTCTATAAATCTTCTCTTTGCACTGAGCTGAATTGAACAAAAGCACAACTAGAACCCACGCTAAGTGCAGGTGAATTATTTCCAAACTAATTTTCTACATTATTTTCCCCTGTCTTTTCAAACTAAAAGTCAACAGAGACCACACAGATCTTTCTGAATGATTCGGTCAATAAACAGAACACTGATAACCCCCCAAAAAATCGATTCAAATGCCCTTGGTAAGTTGTCATATTCACTTATCATTAGCCCATAAATTCAGCCAATAAGCAAGTTAATTAATAGCATTAAAGAACTCGTCCGCCTCAAAAACTACTTGAATATGAGCAATCCCATTTAAATCAAACCAAATAGCTTACTATACTTACTAAAGTACATGGGGAATAAGTCATTTGTTTTCAGTTCACATGAAAGAAAAGCATATTATACCGCAGAGTAGAAGTTTAGATGATAACTTTAAGTGTGCTACCTCATTCTACAAGACTAAACAATGGGAGCAGGATAACAGTTGACATAGAAAAGAGTTGCCTACGACAAGAATAAAACGTGAGGAAGTTGAAAGGGTGGGAGGTGGACCAATAGTTTAGAAGCAGGCCTTGGCAGGTCAGCCTGCTGTGCTTCACACAGGAGATTCCACCGTCAGGAATGTGACCCATTTTACATTCACACAAGCATTCAGAGCAGGAATGCACTGAGCATGCGTGTGATTCGGCCTGTGTGAGGGGGGGAGGGGCACGTGTCTGTAATCTTCACATTGTTCTGAAACCAGTGTGCATGTGTAGCTGTGGTTCTATCTGCTGCCGTGTGAGGCCTATTGCTTTCATGACAGGGGGGAAAGCGTGACAGTAAAAGCAAACATTCATTTGGTGAATGAGGTCAAACTTTGCTACGGGCCATCTAGCTGCTATAAGTGGACAGACAGCAGAACTACAAATTTTTTTTTTCGCAAGTATTTTTAAGAAAATCACTAAGGCTTAAAGAAATCTTGCAAAGGAAAAAAAAAAACTAGGTCAAAAGTTGAATTTGTAAAGACTGTTAGGAAATGTTTTCAAAAAGCATGACTCAATTATTACGACCGTCACCCTGAACATTTTAGATATTCGACATCAAAATGTGTCATTATTCAGGAATGTGGTGAATAATTAACCCTTTACTTTTGCTGACAGGAATCAGTTCTAACTTCTGCATGTACAGAAAACAGCTTTCTTAATCTTTGTTCCAGGGGTATATCATGTCTGCTTTCAGTATCAAAACTGCATGTGAGAAATCATGATCATGCCTACAACAACTCTGCACATTACAAGCACAATGAGAAAAAAAAAACTAACCGTGAATCTTGACTTAAGTTATAACCACCTATTAAACAAGCCTTCTCATACTTTGTCACACCTTTTACTTGAAAAGTCATACCAACCACTACGGACTGTGTTTTACAAAACAGTGCACAGGGAAGTTTTCTGCTATGCTTTGATGACAGATGCAGTGCAAAACAATCAAAAGGGAAATGCTGGTCATGCCTCTCAGAAGGGAAATGACAGAGGCTGCAGCTCAGGTAACAGCGTGGAAGGAAACTGTTTTGGCTCTAATCCACTAAAAGGAAATGACACCGACTCAATTAAAGAAAACATTATATGTGCTGTGAACTTCTGATGTGTTCAATCAGTGTCCAGGAATAAAAATTAAAAATGTAGTAAAAGGACATCAATCACAATGAGGGAAAATAAGTGATAATAACCAGTTTCGTACCTGCAACTCACACCAAGCCACTTCCACTGTGGTCTCAGTGTCCAAGCCCTTGTAGACAGTCTTGAAGGAGCCCCGTCCAATTTCTATATCAAACTTCAGGAAACGTCCATCGGGTGATGTTCCCACTGCTTTGGTCTCTGCCTCTTCGTTGTCATCCTGCGCTTTTTTCTCTAATTCTCTTTGCTCTGCCTCTGCTCGCGCCTTGGCAGAATCCTTGTCCTCCTCGTCCCCCTCTTCTCCTGGATGTACCTTCACCTCAGTGGCGATTTCGGTTTCTATTTGACTTGGCAATTCGGTTCTTAAGCATGGTGCAGAGTGGGCTGCTACCACCGCATCTCCATCACAGCTATCTTGTACAATAGCAGGCCCCTGCTCTGAAGGCACTACATCCACCTTGGCTATTTCTGTATCTTTTCCTTCTTGCTTTTCTCTTCCACCGTCAGCCGACTCTTCATTTTGAGCTAAACTTGCTTCAGGTTTCGGTAGGTGAGCAACAGCAGCCTTTTGCCGCTGGGGTGCAGCTTCCCGTAGCTGAACCCGCTGAGGTGCAGGGATGGGGATCTTGCTGGGTAAAGGGAGGGCCAATGCCGTAGCATTGGAATCACTGATGACACTACGACGTAAAAACCGGTGTTCAGGGTTACATCGATCACGCTCCATGGTGTGATGCCGGCGCCTCACTTCCACTGGCCGGCACTCACCCACCATCGAATCTGAACCAGAACTGGGGCCATTTCCACTTTTCTGAGGGGGAGCCAGGAACTTCACCATTTTGTCGTCTGGCTTTTCCGACATCCCACCACCCACACAAAGAGTAAGGGGGTACAATAACTGAAAAATTAAAATAAGGATACTTCCATGTCTGCCATGTAGGCTTAAGTAAGTGGTATCTATCTGTGCTTTAAGAAAAAGAAAAGGAAAAGAAAGATAGAAAGTCTTACGACGTCTATCTCCAGCTGTCGCTCTTTTATTGCTTAAAGACAACCTTTATATATATGTTGCAGGGACTGGAGGTGTAAGATGGGAGGTGTTCTCTTATAAGTGGAAAAAGACTGAACACCGCAGCAGAACGCAGAGTGCTGATGCTGATACACAAGTCTCTTTAAGTCCACACCATCCATTCTGTAAGACACAGGGTGCAGCTTCTATGAAGCATAAGGAATCACTGGTGAGGAACAAACACGCACAGCCTGCAACAGGCACAGGCACCAAACGCCCTAGTGTAGGCAAAGGCAGGATGGGCAGACAGTCTGAATATTCTCCAGTCCAGGTTCACTGCAAGAGAAAACAGAAAACAAAAGCTGCCTGACATGTTTCAGAAAGTAACCAACATTATGTCAAATGTCAACAAGATTTGTAAGAGACCAGCCTAAGTGTTCCCAGGTAGAATTTACAGTACACATAAAGTTTAATAGTACGGCTTTTGTCAGAAGCACAGCGGGCAGGCACCACAAATCTTCAGCCATTACTTCTCAAGTCGACTGCTTTATGCATTTCCAGTGTCCTGCACTTAACACATCATTTTGCGATTACACATTTGATTGCGTTTAGACAGGTTTGCCCTCTCTGATAATAAGATTTGCTGTCTTGTCCAAGGACATTATATGCAGGGTGTGATTTTTTCCTTTGAAGTTGTATTTTTCAGTTGTGTTCACTCGATATATCATTAAACTAATTTGTTGAGTAAGCATTAAGTGTTTCTCTATGCTAATTATATGGTATGTAAAAGCTTTGTTGTTTTTTTTAATATGGGATGTGGGACAAAACCCATATGCACACCACAGCCCTTCAGAATGACACACTAACCGCTCAGTGCCTCGCGTTTGTTAGACCAGAAATAATTAATTAAACACAGTTGACAGATGAATATTCCTCCGTCTCCAGCTGAGGTGAGAAATAACATACAGTGCTGCGTATGAGGTTACTTATTACAGTCGGAATACGTGAGTCCATAGTTGAAATTGTTTTGTGCTCCCATCGTTAAAGCTGCAAAAAGCTAGAAATATTTAAACTTTAGTTGTAAAGGACTGCTGTCTTGCCAACAAGCAATCCTCGGCCAAAAACTGATTGCAGGCTTCATGTTTAAACTATTTTGCCCGGTTTATATTTGTCTGCAGCTGCTATTATCTGGATCAAACAGTCGTAACTTACAAACAGACGTGACTTTATGTCTGCGGTAACAGCAAAAGGGCATCTGTACGAAACATTTCTTGTAACTGAATAATTGTGTACAGAGTACCGTTTGCAGTTTACAGCATAATCAGGCATTTAGGATTATTATAGGCAATGCTATATTATTAATTGAGATGTGTAGCCTACATGTGTTTCATATGTCTAATGTCCTTGTTTAGACTGTCAACATCAACATGACTTACATGTGGATTCATACATAAAAAATAAAGAAATGATCTCTTTTGCAATTTCCCTATGGCTATAATCTTTTCAAAAAAATCCCCCATGAATGAAATCAGTAATTTCGATGCAATAATAACATTTCCATCACAGCGTAGGCGTTGCAATCACTTTTTGGCAAGTGAAAAACTGCACTGTGCATTGAATTATCCCTTTAAAGCTATTTCAAACAGTAAAAACAACTAGATATATTATAATCTAAGGCACAGAGCAGGTAAAATTATGCAGAGACATGAGGATATTTGCTCCCACAGACAGCAATCATTTTTGCCAGACGGTATCAAACAATTTTTTTTTGGTAATACATACTACTGCTTTTGCATCCTGCACCCTGTTGTGGTGCTTTAGCCATGCAACTAGGCAATGACAATCCTGTTACTTATTATTCATCTATCTACTGTGGCTGCAGCCATTACCAGCACAGGCAACCATAATGTCAGAACTAAACCGGATCATGTTAGCTGCAATAACATCCCGTCAGATAAAATAAACGGCGCAGCGAATTAATAAAATTTGTCTTTCAATTACCGTAAACCTCAGCTTACATACCCATTTCTTCATCAGCCGTAAAAGTGACACTACAGCCATCTGAAAAGGCAACATCGAACCCAACGCGTTACAAAGCAAGGAGGAGCAAACGGCTCTTTGTTAGCTTGCTAACGAGCACGGCTAGCACTCAGCTAGTTAGCTGTCGTTGGCTAATCCTTAAACAGGGAAACGATAACCATCGATGACTAATTTCCGCGTCATGTCTTTTTTAGAATATAGTCCGCCCCGTGGTCCAGTTTACAGTTTCACATAGCCACCGTTAGTGTTGTGATTTTTAAATAATCTGTAACCATTAACAACTGACAGTAAATCACAACTTTACCGTATCCAGGACCGGTTTTCATCCCTGAGTGGTTATCATCACACCGGATACCGATGGCCCATGTAACGCCGGTTGGAAAGCTACCAGCCAGTCACATACAGCGCCACTGCTAACTAGCAGGCTAACGTTAGCTAGGCGGGTCTTGCTAATGGCCTAAAGAGCTAGGACCCTCCTCCCCATTCAATTTAACGTTATCTGAAGCGTTAATAACACTAGCGCTCGTTTGTTGTTACTACGCAGTTCACAATTTTACTTTCTTTAAATGCGGCTTTACGTAGACGATTCCTATCCAAGTGGCCAATAATTTATGAGAAAATTATTTATTTTGGTAAGGTTACGCTGCTGTTCGTTGATGAGACTGGTTTTGCTAGCAGTTAGCAACATAGCCCTTCAAAACGTAGCTAACGTTGAACGGAGCCGGGTAGCAGATAGCGACCTACCTTAATATCGTATCCACAACACAAGAGACGGTCTGTGGCGTTGAAATTGTCCTCGGCGTGAATCCGTCTTCACACATTTAAAACAGAACACACGTAACACCACACGTATAGGTTCTCCCATGTAATCAACACCAAAGTGGCGATTTTTGGGCTCGCTTTCAAACAAGCGGCGCAGTTGCTACAGATTGACGAACAAACGGCATTTCCGAAAGCGCCTGCGCCAATAAGAATGACCTCATAACCATAACAGAGAGAAACACGGAGCTTTGAAGCTCATTGATGCCATCTGACTTTATTATGCCAGCGGATTTGGGTAAACTTGAAAACCATATGGGCTGAAAACACAAGCTGTAGGTGGTCTAGATGTGTGTGATAATGAATGATATCCAAAGCATATTCGGAATTAATTCAAAGAAAGCTCACTGCATTCTTCCTCTGCATTCAATACATTCTTGGCATAGCCTCATGTGGGACATAATGATGATCATAATCATAGTAACAGTAGTAGTAATAATTATTATAAGAATATTTATTTCATAATATTTTAAAAAATGATTTTTTTTATTATAATAAATAATAATTTGATAGTACCTTTCAAACCTGGAGTCACAAGGTGCTTTACAAAAAAAGAGCAAAACATTACCAAGCAACAATTACAGTACTAAAAGAAGTCAATAAAGCATTAGCAAAGCAATAAAACATTTAAAAAGCACATTAATAAAACATTAGAAAAAAAAAATTAAATATTATACAGATGACTGTACATGTGGGTTTATAAAACCCCTTTAAGCTTAATTAGAACAGAGTCATCAAAAGACTGAGTAAAGTGAACAACTGGCCCGGGCTCCAGAGCCAGAGGGGCCCAAAAACCCCACTTTCATCTACTGTCATCAGCTACGTATCTCTTGTATTTAGCTTTATGTTCTGACTGACTTTGTAATGTCTATTTTTAGCTGTGTTTTCTTTTGAAAATGTGATGTTGGCTGATTTTTTTTGGTCAAATGTCACAGGCAGAAGATTATCTTCAGAAAGGATAATAAATAAACCAAATAAAAATTATGAAATAATAATTGAATTAATGTGTATATGGATGGATGGATGGATGGATGGATGGATGGATGGATGGATGGTGTATACCTAAAGTGCATTATAAACTAAGGTGAACTGAGATTATTAGTTAACTATTTAGCCTGGTCTTGTGGAGGGACCCTGTATCAACATTATCTTTTAATAGCTTTATTATTTTAGTTTATAGAATATGTGGAATTTCTTCCTAAATAAAACAGGCATATGTCATTTCGTTTAGTTGCACAGGACTTTTGGGGCATTTGAGAGAACTTGGAGACTGCAGGATGTATTATTTAAGGCAGTATGAATTCTGTTGCAACACTGATGATTTTTTCCCCCATTCACAAATGAAAAATAGCTTCTATGAATAATGAGGTTATAATAATTTTAAAACACTTCACTCTAAATAACTAATTCAATCTGACTATGTTTTATTTTATAGTAGGCATTTGAGATTTTTTAAAGGTACCTACCATTAAAATTATGGATACATTTTTGAATAGAACTTTATTGATCCCTTTGGTGGAAACCTCAGGGAAATTGCTGCAATTGGATTTTAGAAAATGTTTCGCTGATCTTTTTAAAAACTGCAATTCAACGAAATTAATCCTTTTTTTACATGCATATCAAATTTAAATAGATGTATTTTAAATTTTATTTGTAATTTTATGAATGTTGTAAAAAATAATTTTGTGGATTTTTTGTGAAAAGACAATCAGCAAAGCATTTTTTTTTAACCGACTTACACTGAACAAAAATATAAACACCCCATGTCAAACATAAGAGTTTTATGAACATTTGGGTTACGAAATATATACAGAAACTCAAAATATATTTTCAGTAATTACTGATCTTCATATCGGCATTGAGAACATTGGGTCTGGCCATTTGTAGTGGACTGACAGTTCTTTGAACATGACAGGGGTCAGGTTGAGGAGTTTGAGTTTTCAGTATCTTGTGTGTCCGTCAGCTGCGTCTCTCAGAGCAACACATCTTCGCATGGAGTTGATCAGGTTGTCTATGGTGGCCTGTGGAATGGTATTCCATTCCTCCTGGAGTGCCACACGGAGCTGACCCACATTGCCTGGAACTGGAACACGGTTCTGGACATGCCTATCCAGAACATCCCATAGATGCTCTATTGGGGACATGTCTGGTGAACATGCAGGCCAGTCCAGAACTTCCATGTCCTCTGTTTGAAGGAATTCCATGCAGATGCGGGCAACATGAGGTCGGGCATTGTCATGTTGAAAGGTGATGCCATGCTGGCGCACAAACGGCACAACAATTGGGGTGAGAATCTCATCCCGATATCTTTGTGCATTAAGGTTCCCTTCAATGAAGTGCAATGGTGTTCTATGCCCGTATGTGATGCCTGACCACATCGTAATGCCACCACCTCCATGGGCAACCCTGGGCATAACATTTGCATCTGCAAACCGTTCACCCACGTGTCTTCCATCTGCACGATACAACTGGAACCTGGAATCATCCGTGAACATCACTCTTCTCCAGCGTGCCAAGGGCCACCGGACATGTGCAGCTGGTTCCTACGCTGGACAGCAGTGACATCCAGACCACGGTGAGGGCGCCGAGCACGCAAGTTGGCTTCTCGTAGGCGGTCAGACAGTCTGAGGTGTGATGCGTCTGTTGTGCAGACCAATAGTCTCATCAGCTGTGTGTGGCTGGTCTTAGGCGATCCCGCAGATGGACGAGCCGGATGTGGCGATCTTGTTCTGGAGTAGTCACACGTGGCCGACGAGCATGAGGTCGATTTGCAGTAGTGCCAGTCTGGTGGAAACGAACTCTTAAACGGCCTATGGTCCGATAATGGACACTGAGCCGTGCAGCTACTGCTCTGGTGGACATCCCTGCATCCAACATGCCAATGGCACTCTCCCGCATAACTTGCAACATCTGAGGCATTATGACTTGTGACAAAAGTTGACATTTTGGGGTGGACTTTTGTTGTCCCCAGTCCAAGGATTGTCCAGCTGTTGCTCATTTTGTCTGATCACCCACTGGACATGCCCCACCTATGCACTGAGTAAAAAAAACAACTCACTGGGTAATGCTCACTGACAGCAAGTTGGATTAAAAAATTAGACACAAATCAAGAGAAATATTACTTTTGTACAATAAAATGTCAGCAAATGCTCATTTACAGTTGCTAACTCCACATGGCAACAGTATTTGGACATGGGGCGTTTATATTTGTGCTCAGTGTAAATGTTCCTACAGGTAAACACTGCCCCCTGCTGGAATTTGTTGACTAAACATGCTATATGTACCTGATTTAATGCTGTTTCACACAAAATAAAAATACCCAGGTCTGAAGGCAGTCTGTCATTATATTATGCAGCATTGCTTAATGAATCTTTCATTATAAGTATGAACATGGGAGATTATAAATTCACTGATGGTAAACTACATTTCCATCAGAACCTGTCTTCTGAATTCAGTTTTGAAATACTCCACAGTTTGAGCACAACTTTCACTTTTCACCTCGCATCCATCCTAATCTTAGCATTTTTGTCAGGATTTCTCTATAAGTCTGCTTTATGTGACCGTCCACGTTCACCCCCCTCCCTCCTCGGGGCCGTGACCGCGCGTTTAAAATTCAAGCGTGGCGATGAAGAAGGCTCTCGTGAGCGCGCACAGGAGGCTTGACGTCACTGAGGCGCCCTGGCTCTCCTGAGCCGCTGCTACTGCTGGCAAAAAAGATGGCAAAATCAGATACACATTTACCGAGAAATTAACATAAAATGACGGTTCTCGCGGCCGGTTCTCACTTGACAGAGGATTCAGCGTCGGCACCGATTTGAGCTCCACCGGACAACGAGAAAGGTAGTTTGTTTGTAGAGGTTTTTTTTTCTCCCTACCACTGGCTATTGTGTTAGCGAGAGAAAAAAAATAGAGATTCTGCTTGACCACATAAACCGGGATGGACTAGCCTCCGTATGTGACGGCGAGCTAACGCTATATGCATTTAATGTTTCACCTCTTTCTTTGGTATTCACATGCCTCGCAGCTATGTGTGTGTGTGTGGACATGTGAATGAAGAAAGCTTAAAATGAAAAGCCGTTGAGCAAGAGGAGGAGGAAAATGGATATGGTTTGATATGGGTGTCTCCAAAGCAGACGCTGTACGGTGTCGCCGGGATTGTGCGAAAATGCTTTAATTCTGGTCAAATAGGTCACATTTTGACACCGCGTACAGCTAATTTATCAAATTGCCTATCTAGCTAGGCTATTTCACAACTTGTATTCCTATTTGTATGGAATTTCCAAGCAAGTCGGGAGATTTTTTTTCCCCCCTCTCACAACGTCCACCATAGACAATCCCCTTTTCCCTCCCTTGCTAGTTTTAATCCATAGCGTCAGCACATTAGTGAAATGATTCAGAATTCATTTTGCAGACAGAATATACGAACTAATTTACACACGACTCGAGCAAACGTGGAATAATTCGGAGTTAACGGGCGGTTGAAGACAAGAAATGTCAGCCGTTACTGTTAGCCGGTGTGTTAACGTGACATTAGCTGCTAGCAAGGCCACGCAGACTGAAGTTAAATGGCTGTGCTGGGAATTCATTCACAAACTAAATATGTGACACCTTATTTAGATCCATCACAGTGGGGAAAAAAAGCCAGAACCGATCATTAGATGCCAGGATTTTAAGTTGTAGGATTATCAAGACGTATTAAACATCACAGCATTCAGCTTTAACCTTTTGTTGAAGATGTTTGTGAAATCACTGTTTCATTAAATTGCCTATCCATCCAGTGCTCTGAAGCAGATACAATACTAGCATGTGCTTTTCCTCCAAAGGACCCCATGTGAGGAGAATTTTGTTCTTAGACATGACTTTTCACAGTTACATAACTGTCTGTACTGCAGGAGGGAAGACTGTGAAACCTACACGCACAGTGTTTCCCAGTTTGATTCGTTTTTGCTCTAATCCTGCTCTTTTGCATGCATTCGCTTGTATTTATAATAATTACTGTTGTGTGCAATTGCTGTGCAGTTTACAGGGAACGCCTGTGTTTTCTGTGCAGGTTGATGTCATCATTTGTAACACTGGACAGCTCCTGTTGGAAGAGGAGAGGCTGTTAGCATCCCTGAGAGTGTCTGAGCTCGGTTGTATCATGAGCATTGTGTCCGCTGTCTCCAGTTGAAGCAGATCACCAACACCGAGGCACAATATCGGGGGGAAGAAGTCACAACGACAAAACCTGCAAGGATATTGGATAGTTGGGGTTGTGCGTCAGTTTGGTGTTAGCTCTTATCTTGTATTTAGTGAGAGATGTACGGTAGTGCCCGCTCTGTTGGCAGAGGGGATGCCAACCATAGTGGAGGAAGAGATGGAGGTGGTGCGAGTAATCAGGGATCTGGCCGTTCCCCTCGCCTTCCCCGTTCCCCTCGGATGGGACACCGTCGTACCAACAGCACCGGAGGCAGCGGAGGCGGTCCTGGAGGAGCAGGAGGCAAGACGCTCTCCATGGAGAACATCCAGTCTCTCAATGCAGCATATGCCACCTCGGGACCAATGTACCTGAGTGACAATGAGGTCGCCATGGCGGGGGACCACCTTCCCAAAAGTGGCGGGACAGTGACGACCATGGGGAGACAGAGGGTGACATATGGGTCAAGAGGTAGCAACAGTGGAGTTGTAGCCGCCAGCACTCCCAATATCTCCACCTCAGTGCCTGCCAACGCTGTGCTGCCAGCAGGCATGATGGCAGGTGATGCTCTAGCTTTTGGGGACCACCACATGGCCTCCACGGTGCCCCACTCTCTAAGGCAGGCCAGAGACAACACCATACTTGACCTGCAGGCTCAGCTTAAAGAGGTATTTTGCTAATATTTCTACCAGTTTGCACTTTCAAAAATGTGGAGTGTAATTTGACAGACCACATATACGGTAATTATGTCCTAACCATTCTTCCTGCTTCCTCAGGTTCTGCGTGAGAACGAGATCTTGCGGCGAGAAGTGGAAGTTAAGGAGAGCAAACTCAGCTCCTCCATGAATTCTATCAAGACATTCTGGAGCCCAGAATTAAAAAAGGAGCGAGCTCTGAGGAAAGATGAGGTTTCTAAGATAACCGTCTGGAAGGAACAATACCGTGTTATTCAAGATGAAGCACAGGTAAGCGTTCCCTTATATTTATTTGTTTCTGATCTCATCGACTTATTTCTTACATTTTGAATGGAGTCATCAAACTGCCTGGGCCAGGCATGCTTGAGTAGAAAAATACATTTCATCCAGTGTGTCAGCTTTAGTACAAGTGTGTCTCCCTCCTATTCTTCTCTGCATAGGTTAGAGGCAGTTTTTGAACATCTAGTTAATCCTCTTATATGCAGCTACTCGTATATGCTCGTGCTTAGTAGATGAAAGAGGGCCCAAGTCTAATGGCTGCATTAGCATCTCTGTATGTTTTAGAAATTGCTGCATGTGGTGAACAGGATAAAATATGTTGAAAAGGTATATTCAAAAGTGGATGTATGCGTAGTAGTTTAAGCACTGCATAAGATGAGAATATTGTTGCCGTGAGCAGTTTCAAAGGACTGGTTGTAAATAGATTTATTATGTGAGTTATGCGCATTCAAGAGCATTGAACATAATGTTCTCTTTTGGTTTGCCACATGTTTTGGACTCAGCTGACGCGACATATTGAGGTGAAATGATCAAAAACAGATAAAGAAAAAACAAACTATGAGCGTGAGGGCGTCCACTAATACGGTGACCGCTTTGATTTCCTGAAAAGTTTTCGGTGACAGCATTTTGTCTAGCTTCTCCTTCGATCCAGGTTCCTTTAGACGGGGTATGAAAATCTAGTATTGATTCCACACACTTCTGCGTCCAAGACCTGTCAAAATGAAGGATACGACAGTGTGCCGGACCTGTTATTGTACAGCTGAATGTGTGTTGCCGTTCATCGAAAGTGGTTGTTTTCTTCCGATGTCAGGTGCGGAAACCAAGTATTTTCATTAGCCTTTCACTCCCTTTTACTACATCTGTGCCAATTTTCTATTTTTAGAGACACAAACTTCACAAAATTCAAGGCCGATTCTTTGTTCCACAGCGTGGGTCTGCCTGCACGCATGCCGTTTCACAAATATGTATTTGATAAGAGTAACAAGATAAATAGAGACAAGGTCTTTGTTAAAACCCTACACTACGATGTAGGACTTGTGCAATTAGGTTTCATTAATGAAGAGAAATCGTCTTTGTTTCGCTGTGATTCTTAATGGATGGGCAGACCTGTATAATTTGCTGTTTTCACTCCTGCTGAGTCACAAAATCACACTCTGGACTAATTCCCAGTAATGCCCGACTAGCGCAGGGCTAATCAGCGGGTGCTTTAATTTAAAGATGTCTGCTTTCATATGTCTGCCTCCACCTCCCACGCTGGCACACATGCAGTGGAAGGCATGGACACACACACACACACACAAGCTCTCAAAGACAATTGGATGATTACGGCTCCGGTTAAACTGCCTGCCCTCATTGAATAGAGGTCCAACTGAATGTGCATACAGTACGTCTGCAATTGTGTGTTTACATGTATAATTTAGATTTTTCCTTACCACAGGGCATTTATTTACATTCCGCCGTGAAAAACATCTGCTGTTACCTTGTGCAATGTTACCATGTGTAGCAGTATGAACTCGCTGTCATCTTTCTCTTCTCATTAAAAAAAAAAAAGGTCAGATAGTCACTGAATAATCACCAGTTATTTCTTGCTAATTACTCCTTGTCACATAAATAAAATATCACATTTATCACAGGACACAGAGAAAGACCAGACATGAGATTTCAACAATAAGAGAGAATTAAAGAAGAAAAACTTTACACAGTGAGCGTCTCTACCATTTTAACTTTTACACAGTATATGAGCAGCAGCAGAGGTCTGATTCATCGTGTTCAGTGTCATTACAAAATGTGACTTGACGGTTAGATCAGTTTAGTTAGTGCATCATAGGTCTTATGCTTTGTGCTCACCCAGACACCTGACTGTTGTCTCTCCTCAGGCAGAGAGAGTGAGAATATGGGGGCTGAGGAAGAGAGAAGGTGTGTGTGTGTGTGTGTGTGTTTCGGTGCTTATCTGTGCATGCATCTGCCTGTGTGTATGTCGGATCGGTGCAGTCACAGCAGTGAGTCAGCCTTAGTCACGGGGTGGAGAGGGTGATGGAAAGGGACAGTTAGCAAGAGGAGAGGTGAGAGTATTAGAGGGAGGAGATGGGGTGAGAGCAGGCGAGGTAGATGAATAGTGTGTTGCTGGTGGAGGGAGAAGGAGAGGATGACAAAGGAAGTAAAAGGGAGGGGGCTGGAGGCGGAGGACAGAGAGAAACGAAGGCAGACACTGACTTCTCTCTTTGTTCTGTCGTCTGAAAACGCTCACAGCTGGTTCAGAGCACAGTGTAACACAGCCTTGTGTCACTGTCTCACAGGATCTCTGCCAAGTGTCCGTGGCGTCAGATGCCACAAACAATGCAATACTATACTGGGCCGATTGTGTTTCACCACTTGTATTTCTTTGGGCATGAAATGTAACACTGTCCACAAAGCCTGCCTGTTGAGGGTGCATCAGTCGAGGCATTGCTAAACTTTCAGTCATGATTAGAGGCTGATTTTTAAACAGGCTGTAACACAATATTCTGCCAGTATCCATTCCCATAAAGTAAAGTGGTTGCAGCCTTGGTATCATTCAAATGATCGATACATTTTTCACTTCATGTACCCCTGTATAAATCATCTTGTAATAAAGGCTTGCAAACGGATAAATGTCAACAAATACATGTGTGTCTTCTCTCTATCCTCAGCATCTCCAGATGACCGTTCAGGCTCTCCAGGATGAACTGAGGATCCAGAGGGACCTGAACCAGCTGCTCCAGCAAGATCCTGCCAACCAAGGAAGGGACCTGGCCCTGACATCTGAACCTACAGAGGAGAACTACCGGCGGTTACAGGGCGAACATGAGAGGCAGGCCAAAGAGCTCTTCCTTCTTAGGAAGACCCTGGAGGAGATGGAGCTGAGGATTGACACACAGAAGCAAACCCTGGGAGCCCGAGACGAGTCCATCAAGAAACTTCTGGAGATGCTGCAGAGTAAAGGTGGATTTAGGCCTTGAGAGAATAACTTAATTAGATTTTTAATTAAGTACCAGTGGAGAAATGACTGCTGCTTTTCCTCTGTTGGCTAATAGTTTCATAATATTCATTCATATTAACTCTAAGCGTCAACAGGAAAAACAGCAAAGTCAGCAACAAGTTTCTTCCATGAGCATTTTAGGTCTCAGTGAGTGTTGGACACTTCAAGCCACTCTGCCTCCACCCTTTATTTACTTAGCTCCATTGAGACTTGGGTCAAACATGACATTCTTTGCTCCATTAATTATCCACCATGTATCATCTCAGCTTAACCAGGAGCTTTTGAACACTTGAGGTCTTTGCATTGGCATCCTTCAAAATAATTTCAAGTTTCAGTCTTGTGAGCACAAAATACCAAAGATGTCACATTTGACAAACTAAATGTTACAGAAAGCCAACTCCCTTAAAAATAACTTAAATAAGTACAATAAATATATACTGACAAACAATTCAGATACTGTGTGCTTCAGCCATTGTTTGCTTTTGTTTCATGTTCAATGCGGAGTTGCTGATCTAGTTTAGGCATCTATGCTTGCTGAACAGATCAGCTTTTGTCTGAAGCATAAAACAGTGAGCCTCTGTGTTTGGCACAGCGAGTTAACCACAGGACTTATGGTTGTCAGGTTGCCTGTTGTAAACCTCTCGTCTACATAAATACCTTTTTACCGACTTCATCATGTTGACAAAGTTGTTGTGTTTGCTGTGCCAGGACCATCTGCAAAGGCATCAGAGGAGGACCAGGAAAGGACCAGGAGACTGGCTGATGCAGAGATGCACAGGCATCACCTTGAGAGTTTACTGGACCAGAGAGACAGAGAGATTACCGCACTAAGAGAGGTACTGTCCAGTACACACAGGATGACATACACATTAAATGTCTTTTGTCAGATTTGACAGTGCACATAAGTATTTTAGACATTCATGCAACATTCAATATCCGACCCAGCAGGAACTCCATCGTCGCTACGAAGGAACCCCCGAGTCCACCAAAACCAAGGCTTTACAAACTGTCATCGACATGAAGGTGAGAATTTAAATAAAGATTGTGTTTATTGTGTGTGGTGTCATGCAATGCTATAAGTGGTAACCTTTCAATGTCAACCCCAGGATGCAAAAATCAACTCAATGGAACGGAGCCTCAGGGACATGGAGGAGGAGCTTCTAATGCTGAAATCCAATGGACTCCTGAGCTGCGAGGAGCGTCAGGAGGAGATGAAGCAGATGGAGGTGTACCGCAGTCACACCAAGTTTATGAAGAACAAGGTCAGAGACAAGCTGATATTGGTTTAGTTTGACTAAACTGCTTTAATTCTTCTTTCTTTTTCAGCTCTAATACATAAAACACATTAAAGTAGGACTCAGATTCCTCCTGAAAAATCTTGATTTTCAGCCAGTTTCAATGTTGGATTCACAGGAAGCATCACTTTCTTGTCCAACCCTCCCTCTTTCCCTTCTGCCTTCAACTTGTATTTTTCAGATGGAGCAGGTGAAGCAGGACCTCTCCAGGAAGGACACCGAGATGCTTGGTTTGCAGACTAAACTGGAAACACTAACCAACCAGTTCTCAGATAGCAAGCAACACATTGAAGTCCTCAAGGAATCCCTCACTGCCAAGGAGCAGCGCGCTGCCATCTTACAGACAGAGGTACAGAAGATGCGTATCTATACTCTCTTAAACTGCATATGGATATACAACAAGGACACTCTGAGGGTACTTATGTGCAGTGAGAGGAGGGATGTAGGATTGATAATGCAGCAAATTAAAGACACACATAAATTGCTATGTGTTAAGAAGATGCCTGTTTTATTTGCTCTTGTCCACAGGCATTTTAAACTTGACCCGTATACATTTATGGCTGTTGTAATTTATTTACCCCTTCCTCATCAGGTGGATGCCTTGCGTCTGCGCTTGGAAGAGAAGGAAGCCACTCTGAATAAGAAGAGCAAGCAGATACAAGAAATGTCCGAGGAGAAGGGAACCCTTAATGGGGAAATCCACGACCTCAAGGACATGCTGGAGGTTAAGGAGCGCAAAGTTAATGTACTGCAGAAGAAGGTGATTTTGACAAAGAACCATTTACAAGAACTTCTGTCGAGTTGCATCCATCATGTCACAGCACGTGTCCTGTGATTGGTGTCCGTTTTGACTGAAGGTTGCTTGTGTTTGCGCTGCAGATTGAGAACCTGCAGGAGCAGCTGAGGGACAAGGAGAAGCAGATGAGCAGTCTGAAGGAGAGAGTGAAGTCCTTGCAGGCAGACACCTCCAATACTGACACCGCTCTCACAACGCTGGAGGAGTCTCTTGCAGAAAAGGTGAATTTACGCAAACTGGAATTTGTTCTTGTGTATCTGTGCATTTGTAGCTATGTACATTTGTTGGTTGGTTTTAGCAGTGAAAGCATATTGTGCGATTGTTTTCTCCAACTCTTTGTAGGAGCGCATCATTGAGCGTCTAAAGGAGCAGCGAGATAGAGATGACCGGGAGAAGACCGAGGAGCTTGACTCCAACAAGAAGGAACTGAAAGAGTTGAAGGAGAGATTGAGCTTACTGCAGGGAGACCTGTCAGACAGAGAGGTGAGAAATGGATGCAGAAAAACAGACAAACTCCGGTGTACTGTGATTCTATTAATACAGTGAAACATTGCTGTCAGCCGTTTCTATTAGTTTGCCGTGAGTCATGGATGCCTTTTATTGGATATAATGTATTTTCAGTCTCTTCGGTCTCATGCTCTGCTCGTTTAATAAGCTGGAACAAGTTCACCTATACCTCTGTGTATGTGGTTGTGTGTATGTGCAGACCTCTTTGTTGGACCTGAAGGAGCATGCATCATCCCTGGCGTCCTCGGGGCTGAAGAAAGACTCCAAACTCAAGAGCATGGAGATTACCTTGGAGCAGAAAAAGGAGGAGTGCCTCAAACTGGAGAACCACCTTAAGAGAGTGAGATGCCTTAAACACAGACAACCTATGTGGCTGACTAAGCTTGATATGATGCTGTTCAATATTTATTTTATATAACTGTGATATAGCTAGAGCTTTTTTGGTCCTTGCCCGCTGACCCTGAAGTGATTTCTAACCAGAGTCTTCTCTCCGTCAGGCACAAAATGCAGCACTGGAAGCTCAAGCCAATACTGAGCTAGCTGAACGAATTAAGAACCTTGAGCAGGAAGTGGCCCGCCACAGAGAGGATTCTGGGAAGGCGCAGGCTGAGGTGGACCGCCTCCTTGAGATACTTCGGGAAATGGAGAATGAGAAGAATGACAAGGACAAAAAGATCAGTGAGCTGGAGAGGTGGGTGAATGTTGTCAGTGTGCACGCTGGATGTTCAGGGGATGGACACAATAATACAATTATAAATATCAAGTAACTGATTAGGAATAATGTAGGTCCACAGTTTGCTTCCATAAAAGAAAAATCCTCACACGATTATAGGTTCCTCTGATACAGACTTCAAATTCTTCAGTGCTGAAATATGCAGACATCAATTCTCGACCGCCAGGGTTTTTCCCTCGTCGCTGTGCAATAGCTAATATATGTTTGCCATTGATTTTTGTATGCAGCAGCTTCCTGGTTGTTAGCTCTGAAATGAGTGTTACAGAATTTCTGATGATTGATTCTGTTTTTTGTGGTGATCGCAGACTGTAGTTTCCATCCGTTTCTGCCTGACCCTTGTTCCTCACAACTGGTACAAATTTTCCATCGATGACATCATGTCACTGTGGAGACAGTTGCGGCAGATTCATTATATTTAGTCCAATTTGGCCATCTGCCATTTGGCACCTCGGCAGTATTGGTTTAAGAGCTTGTGTGGTGCAGTTTGTTAGCAGATTTCATAATAGTGTTTCTGCAATGTTTGTTCTCTTTACTGTATGGAATGAACCATGTTGCTTTATGACAGAGGTGTAGGAAAGATGCTGTATAATCCTAGAGCTGATGTGCATGAGCCCCTCTCTCTTTTTCTTCATATTTGCTCTTCTTCTTAGTCTGAGTCTGCTTTTCTCTTTACTGCTTTCTTGCCTTTACACTGGGAAATTTCTCACCCCACCAGTTTGGCCTCCAGGTTAGTATTCGCACCTTCCTCTCCCTCCGATCATGACACCTTTTCTCTCTTTGTCCTCTTCTCACATTTCTCACCCTCTATTTCTCTGCACCTCTTGCCACTCTGTGGAGCTGCAAGCAATCGTCTTTTCTTGACACATTGAACTCTATGTCTCACCTCTTTCTTCTGCTCAGGCTCATTTTTCCTCTTTCACCTTCTTATTGTTCTGTCTTTCACCCTGAGTCAAATCTGAGATTGACTCTCTGCAGGGGCTGTCTAAAGTTTTAAAAGGCAACTCTGTACGGCTGTATCTTTCGTTTCAGTGTGTTTTTAAAGGGCAGCTTTTCATGGGATTATATCTCTGTGTGCCCACGTTGTGATTTGATATTTGCTGCCTGAAATTGTATTTACTTTGTGCGCACTGATCAATCGGCTACAATCATAAAGTTGCAATATCTGAGTCATCAAGTGGCTCATACCTCATATACAATGTTTATATGTGGTGCCAAGACTATATTTGCATGAACTCTTTTATTTACTTATGGATAGGCCATCTGAGTCATGCACCAATAAGCTCAGTGTGTTAAATAATAGACTGCTATATGGGAAAATGCTTCCTGTGCGCTTCACTCTTTACATTTAATCGGATCCAAAAATGTAAGATAAGTGCTTTAAAAACACTATTTATGTGCAGAAATTGTCCCCACTTTAATTTTTTGTCTGTTTATAGTTTGAAAGGTAAATGTTATATTTACTTGCCAGGTTGGATTGTTTGTGCTTTCTCTCCAAACGGAATATATAACATATCTGTGTCCTCCTCTATCCCACGGTTCTCTTGTAGGCAAATGAAGGACCAGACGAAAAAAGTGGCATCATTGAAGCACAAGGAGCAAGTGGAGAAGAGCAGGAATGCTCGACTCATGGAGGAGGCCCGGAAGAGGGAGGACAACATGTCTGAGAGCTCTCAGCAGGTGAAGGTGAGGCTTGCGTGTGGATTGCTTGGACCATACGCGCCCTGTAGGAAAGTTCACATTTGCTGGCATTGCTTTGCTCCGTCAGTGTCTAACGAAGCAAATTTGAACTCTTCCTGCTCCTCTTGTAAAGGACACTCTGCGTCAGAAGAGCGAGCGCATAGAGGAGCTGGAGGAGGCCCTGAGAGAGAGCGTTCAAATCACCGCTGAGCGAGAGATGGTGCTCGCACAGGAGGAGGCTGCCAGGTCACTCCAGGAGAAACAGGTACACCACCCACACAGGAACACACACGCATGACAAAGTAATATTAACCAAGCAACAGGACCACGACCAAACTCATCTAAATACTTAAAAACAGGAGCAACTTCATGTACTGCGATTCTTTCTGTCACCTTTTTGCTGCCGCTGTGGTGTCACTGCTCCTTTCTCCACCTCCCTCCTCCTCTCTGGCCTCCTTCTCTCTCAGTTCTTTCATCTTTGCTTGTCGTCTTCTCTTGTTTTCTCGCTGCTACAATCCGCCTCTCAGAAGCACTCACTCAATCCAATGCATGAGTCCAACCTCGCCCACTTTAAGTGGTCTAAGGTATGAGCCCAGTGTGTGTGACCTCCATCAGTGAGCAACCACACTTACAGAGGGTGGACACAATCAAAGCAACACCTGTACAATTCATGCAGCCTTCATGCAACAGCCCTGCAATGGACACGTTTGTGAAGCTTGGTAACGTTGTTGGAGCGCATGTTTTTGTAAAGTGTTGCTGTTGTTTCCAGCCCGTGTAATCTTTGTGCCATTTTGTTTACCTGCTGTTTGCTGGTAAAATGATGCGGCTTTGCTCCTGTGTCAAGTAGCCAATAAAATTGACACTTAGAGGATGAATTAATAATTAATTCTCTCATTCAGCCAGATGTGATTCAAGTATGTATTGATATTAAACGGCATCTTTTACAGTAAATAACAGGTAAATGAAATCTACTGCTATAGTTAAACCACACCTGTGTTATCGTTGATCCCCCAGTCAGTGCCTTCTATAAATTCTACTGCACCTCCCTCTTATTAGAGCAGTTCGCACTGACAGATTTCTTTTCTTAAAAAAAAAGGCCCAATGCTTTTACAAAAGCCTTTCAAATAATCCGTTTTGCTTTATTGATCGTTGAATTGTTTTGTGTTGGTGTGTGTCCCCAGATGGAGGAGCTGCTGGGTGCCATGGAGAAGGTGAAGCAGGAGCTGGAGTCCATGAGGGCCAAGCTGGCCTCCACCCAGCAGTCTCTGTGTGAGAAAGAAGCGCACCTCACAACCCTGCGAGCTGAGCGCAGGAAACACCTGGAGGAGGTGCTGGAGATGAAGTAAGGCTCGTGTGTTTGCGCGTGCACACATACACAGTAGGGTGGCATAGACTCTGGATTATTGATCGCTGCCTTAATCTTGTGAAATGTCATCCAATTCTGGCTTTTCCCAGCTGGCAGGCCGATGTTGTGCTATGAATAATAAATGATAATTGAGCTATTTACTTGTGTGGGTAAATGCCATGTTGTTTCACTTCCACCTAAAAGGCAGGAGGCGCTGTTGGCTGCTATCAGTGAGAAGGACGCTAACATCGCACTACTGGAGTTGTCCTCCTCTAAGAAGAAGAAAACCCAGGATGAGGTGGCTCTGCTGAAGCGGGAGAAGGACAGACTGGTGCAACAGCTCAAGCAGCAGGTGAAGAGAGGGGCTTCTGCTTTCTGTGGAGGGATATACAGGACTGAGGCACTACAGTGGGTCAAGGACTCTCACCATGGTTACTCCCATTCAAGTATAACATGAATGTATAATTCAAGAACTCAGTGTTCCTGTCAAGGTGAACCTGCAACGAATGGACACTAGCTCAGTGTGACTTTACAGTAACAGCAGTTTGTGTAATCAGCAGGAACGCTGCAAGGTGACCTGCTAAAATCACAGTAAAGTATGTCCTGGCAGGGACGTAACTTTTACTGTTCGCAATAATTTAAAGAAAAAACCAGGGACACACTTCACTATGTTGCTGATTCTGAACATGAAGTAGATTTGAAAACAAGTGGGTTGACATAATTCTCTAACGCATCAGATGTTTTGACCAACAGTTCATAGCAATTAATGTCCTTGTTTTGCAGCCTGTAGCAGAGGAGACAAAAAGGATTTTCTTTAAAAAACCTTGAGCATATAATAGCAGCTTCAAAAATGTTTCCTAATGCTGCCGTTGTGACCTAGGGTCTGATACAATGACATGTCGTAGTCTTGGATGTAAAGCTGGTGGGAGACTTTTACATTATCAGCTTAATGACACACATCCTTCTCCCTCCTCTGCAGAAACATTTTCATTTATGTCCATTAAATTAAAAATACCTCTCTCTCTTTTTTTTTTTTTTAGTTTTTATCCCTACTAAATGTCACATAAAACAAGCACTTAAAATGCAGGTGACTTCTAAGGCAACATGTGAACTAAAAAGAAACTAGATCCTGTATAGGGAGGTGCAGCCTCTTCTATTTTGTCCATAAGGGCATTCCCAGACCAGGTAAAATATGTCCTAATACAAAACTGACACGAGCTATCGTAAAAAGTGAACTACTGAATAGAAAAGACAAAAACATCGACACGCAAAAACAATACTGAGGTCAAAATAAAAAGGGAATCCACAGCTCCATGTGTGGAAAAAGCTCATGTTTAAGTAATAAAATGGATGGTTGCATTATATTTATGCATGCTGGCTCATTGTCGTGGCTTATTAGGATACCTGGACAGAACCTTGAGGCCTTCAATAATGTTACTAGTAGCACCTGTGCTTTTCTTACTTTGAGTCAAAACATCTGCTGTGAAAATGACCTATGATCTGATTCTTGCTGGTTTACTGAACTCACTTCCAGGATGCAGCAGAGTAGCAGAATCCCAGCAATTAAGCTAAAAAAAAAAAAACAACTGATGACCGGCATGACTGTCACGCTCCTTTTTTGTTTTTGTAATTCTCTCCATCTTTAATTTACAGACTCAGAACAGGATGAAGCTGATGGCAGACAACTACGAGGACGACCATCTGAAGACTGCACCTGATCACACAAATCACAAACCCTCTCCAGATCAGGTAGTTTGATTCACCACCAGTCACCAGTTAGCTTTGACAATGGCTGTTTTATACCACCTGCTATACCAGCAGTGATGTGGTCAAAATGTAGTATGGACAAATAAAAAAGAAACAAAATCTGCAGTTTGCTAAAAAATCTCTGTATGTTTTACATCAACAGTAAGATAATATTACTCTTGTAATGCAACATAAATATCAGGAGAACCAGCATAAACTCATGTTACATTTGCAGTAAAGTTATGCAACAAACCGTAGCTCAGTCTGGTTCTTTGCAATCGTCAGACTCATGAGGTAAATGTTCATTAACATTTTTAGCTTCTGTGGGATTTTTTGGGCATAAGGAAGTGCCACTGTGTTATTGCGTCAGCTTTTCAAAACTGTACACCTGCTAAGCCTGCTGTAGCATGCTGCAATATAAAACAATTTCACAGTTGTAGTATACATTTTGCAGTACATCCTATATAGTACCTTTATCAGAAGTCTCTATTTAATCTCAAACAACTTCCCTGAAATGTCTGCCATCAATTGGTTAACAAGGTAGTGTCTGGTTGAAAAGGACTAACATTATTGACATGGAAGTTTTCCTCTGTTTTCTTCTGAATTTTTACTTTCCTTGTCTGCTCACACACTAACCAAGTGTTCCTTTCTAATGCTGCAACTGCCTCACCTTGTGGTGATATCAGGATGATGAGGAGGGTATTTGGGCGTAGCCAACCTTTTGCCCTCACCCTCTCTCTCTCTCAGCCATTTTGTTCAGAAGGGTGAGCTCGTGTGAAAAGCCAGAATCTGTCGCTCCTTTCTTTGCTGCTACATCGGCATGTTTACTCGTCCTTCATTCATTTGTGGTTTTCTCATTGTCGTGTCAGTCCTCTCTTTTTCATGTTGAAGGTCACCGTCCTTATTGTTTTCACAAATTCATCCTGTGCTTCAACACTGTTCATGTATTGTTTTTTTTGTGGGTGCGGCAATGTGGGTTAGTGTTTCAGTGGTGTGTGTGTGTGTGTGTGTGTGTTTTGCATGTGCAAGCAAAGGGTCTCATCATCTCAATCTAAAGCATCGTAGTTTTGCACACAAACAGGTGTCAGATATGGGTTTTAACTTCAATGTTATCAGTGTTTGAGTAAGTTTGTTAGAGCTACATAGACATACATATACGCTGTTTATTTATGCAAGAATATTGGCTTTAATGTGAGATGGTGATGGATCGGTGAGCATGCATGCAGATGATGATGCTTTGTTTTTCTCTCATGGAATCTGTTGTTGCTTTAAATGGAAATGGTGTCTTGAGCTTGTTACTCTCATTATGTTCAACAGTTGGAATATAGCTCTTCTTTGTTCTTCTTCTGGTGTGAATATTTCCTTGTATTAATCTGTATCTTTTCCTACGTTTCCCCTCTCTCCCTCCCTCCCTGCAGATGATACCCCCTCTTCTAGCCTTGTCCCAGAACCGCAGTAAGCTCAAACTCTACATCGCCCACCTGACAGACCTCTGCCACGACCGGGACCCCAGCATCCTCAGCCAGCTCACACCACCCTCTCACTACCACCACAGCGACCCCGAAGACTGGGAGGAGGAGCTCCAGAAAATGAGCGTGGAACAGGTAATGGAGGAACTCCTTTGTCTGTACATCACGTCATATGGGGTTTATTCATGTTATGTATATATGAATAAATATATGCATAATATTTGTTAAAAAAAATAGCACGAGACATGTTAGGCCTGTTTTAGGGGAGGTAGGTTTATTTGTGGAGCTCCTATAAAAAAAATAAAATAACATTTAAAATCACAAAGAGAAGTTGGTCAAATCAAGTGCAGCTACAATCAAATAAAACACACATAGAGAATTTTAGACAAACAAACACAATGCTTGTGCGAACATTTTAATCCCAAAATGTATTAAATGAAATGTGAAAAGTGTAGTAGGGAAAACTGATCAAAGAAACTGAAATTTCGATTGCAAAGTGGATTAAGTTGGGACACATTGATTTACCAGGAAGTTAATTTCAATTTGCATGACTTGCTTTTGCTTATTCCTGCTTTAAGAACCCTGTCAGTCACAGCATTAACTCAGGGATAGTTGGGTTGCTTTGGTTGTTTGAGGTACTTATGGGCGGTCAGTGTATTTCCTACAGTAGATCATCACCATTGGAGAAGCAGCCTGGAGAACAAGCACGGAAGCTAAACAATGAGCAGGATCGACAGCAAAATGTGTTTTATCCACGTAGAACAGGTCCACTTTAAAAAAAAAAAAAAATCTATTTTAGTTTTAAGTGTGCATTATATTTAGAATATTTTCACTGCTTTACCTTGAAGAGCAAAATTAGCTTATAGCTTGACAAGCATGTGAAAACACAAAAACAGACAATTCACGTGTTCTGTGAGGTGAAATTAATGTTTTTGCAACGTTGTCTGGTCTCTCTGAAGACAAGTGTTGCCTCGTCAAAAAGAACGGACTGAAGGTAAAGCAGTGAAAATATTGTAAATATAGCACAAACTGGTAAAGATTTTTTTTAAGGCGGCTAAAATACGTTTTGTCTCTGATCCCGTCCACAGCAGTTCATTTTTTTAGCTTTCATGCTAGGATTTCTTTCTGCTTCTCCTAATCAGGGGAGTTCATGACCTGCTGTAGGTAATACACAGAGTGGATACGTGCCTCGAACAAGCCCACTTCAGAAACTAAACCATCACTTTAAAATGTGGAGGTAGAGTTTGAAGAATTTGTTTCACATGGAACAGTTGTTTTTCTTCAGTAGACGAGTGATTGTTGTGTATGAGTTTTCTGATGCCACGTTCATGTCTTCAACCTTGCTAAATATTTCTCATTTTTTTAAACGAAGCAGAATTTTACTGATCGCTGTATTGAAATTGTGATTTAAAAAAAGACTCTAATTCTTGCTGCCTTGCCTGCAGTTGGAGCGGGAGCTGGAGGTGTGTGAGAAGGAGAGCGGAGAGCTGCAGGAATACGCCAACTCTGTTCTCCAGCAGATTGCAGACTACTGCCCCGATATCCTGGAGCAGGTTGTCAATGCCCTGGAGGAGTCATGCTGACAACTCTGACCTCAGACATAAACCCGGCCGAGCCCAGGTGCCCCCTACCTCCACCCAGTAAAGGCTCCTGGAAGGAAGAGAGAAAGCTGGGGGCATTATCTCACCCCGCTGGGCTCTTCTTCTTTGTCCCCCTCGTTTACCCTGCAACAAACTCACAGGACTCTTGAGTGCTTTCCTGTCTCATATGCTGCTCTAATGTCAGGCTGGCAACAAAAAAAAAAAAAAAAATCTAATTAGGGATGTTCACAGAGGCTGCACTGCAAACCATCGTCTGCTCATTTATTGACAGCCACGGCAGATGGCGAAGTTACAGTAGAAAGAGAAGAAGTCAAGTACAAACCTCACGACATGGTTGGCATTCATCATAGCACACAGGTGCGCTGGGAGAGAAAGGCGATCAGATTAAATGAGCAAACTTCCGCACAAAGTCTTGGAGTGTACTGCCAACCTTCCTCTCCCTAGACTGCTTCATTCAGAGCAGGAATTGCCAGATGAGGCACAGTTACCTCAACCCACTTTCATCTTTTACTCCTACTCATAAATCTCTCAAGTTTAAAGGGGTACATTTATTCCCTACATGGGACAGGAAAGCACTTTTTTGTCTTGGTGAATTAGGGAGCTGCTACATCTAGAGGGGGGCCGAGAGGAGCCGAGTTCAGCGGTTGCGTCACGGAGCCATGCAGATGCTTCTTTTTGTATCTTAGTCAGTGTCGCTACCCAAGTAGTAACACCTATGAAATGCCACTTTTAACCAGCATGTTCTCTGAGCTGTGGATTTGTCCGTGTAGCTAGGATTAGGTTGTAGGTACGTTACTGCGTCGTCTGTGGCTGGGTCATCGGCATTAGAGGGGGATCAAGTCTCGACCTTTGGCGCGGATCAAAGATCAGATTTTTAGTAACACAATATGTTCTCAATGGATGAGAGAGAGGATCTTAAAAAACAAAACAAAAAAGAAAAAAGCTTTTATTAATGGTGACGTATTAATTTTTAGATGGTTTTGCACACAACGTCCACTTGTTTGAGGTATGCAATGTTTCTTTTGAGAACGTTCTAGTGGCCTTGGAGCATGCACAGAGATCAGTACTGGACCTAACGCAGGGATATTTATTCCTCTGTAAAATTGGTGCTAAGGCATGATGTAAGAATTTTTGATCTGATCATCCAGTCTCATCCAAAGTTTCTATAGACGTTACTTAAAGCCCACCTGATCTTTAGTTCGTCAACTGAATCACTGAAGAATACAAGCGATAAACTCCTTTTTTTTTTTTTCTTGTATTTTTCAGATCACATAGAAAAGAAAAAAAAATACAAGCGATGCCTCCGTTGTTGTATTTTTTGAAATCTTCAGGGCTGAGGTTTTTAATTACTAAGTGCATCTACATTTACAGGAAACGAAAGTCACTTTTCAGCAGATTTTGACTTTTTAGATCAGTTTGTAAATAACGTGACATTTAACACGTACAGTGACTGAATAAAGGTAATTAAGTGGAAGGTGTTGTGCATTCTTTAAAAAAAAAAAAATCTGAAAAGTTAAAAGCAGTGCAGTTGTCTTTTGTGTCTAATTTTGTCCTCAGGACAAAATGTGTGTGTGTGACAGTACTGCCATAACTTGCGGAAAGTCATGTTCTATAGAGATATATATATAAATATAATACATATATATATATAAAATGTTTACTGTATCGATATGCATTGAATGTTTGCACAGAATCTTGAAGAGCAAACTGCTCTGAACAAAATGACCGTGGAGTTAGTGTCCTCAGCAGAAACTGAGGAAAGAAGTGTCAAAAAAAAACCTTGTGTCAAAATAATGTGTGAACTGCAAATGTTTTCAAACCGTGACTGTGTGATGGGAGAGTACTTTTCTTGCATTTATTTCTAATTGTCATTTTTTTATATCCTTTCACCAGACGGTGATGTAAATGTATTATGCTGAGATTCCAGTGTTGTCGTATTTTCGTTTATGTCGATGATTTTCTGTTGGTTGATGTCAAAGGCAGACTGATGGATAAAAATAAGTCTCCAACCATCCTGGACCTCCCGCTGGTATAAGAGGAACACAATGTTACACAACAGTAGAACTGCGTCAGTATACAACTAAAAATAGATGTTTTCTAGCAAACTTCCTATGTGTCGTAGATTTACAGATCAGTTTGGGAGGGAACCTCAGAGGATGCTGGCGAGGTGCTTGTTTTTTTACTTCTCGTCTGTCAAACCTCTCAGTGGAGATTCTTTTTCTTTCCGTTCCTTGTAACCCGTCACCGCTGGGTTGAGAGGAAAGCATTTTTTCAAAGTGTTTTCTTTCCCTTACTTTGGCCTGTGTGTCCCCGCCCTTGCCTTAATGTCTGGTCATCTCTTTTTCTTGACTCCTTATTGCGGAACACAGAGCTGATTAAGGGGCTTCTGTCGAGTTCATGGTATTTGTTTATTTTTTGTTTGTTTGTTTTTTGGCATTTGTATAAGAAATGTACTGCCTTCTGTCTGTTCGTGTTAAGAATCAAACTGTGTAAAAAGAAAGCAAAACAGACATGTTTGTGAGTTATTTGGATTTTGTATGTATGTAAATAAATAAATTATAAGCCTTGTTTTCTTGTCAAGTATTTTTGGCTGCCATGTACAGTGTA